GGGGGGTGTTAATCAAAGGTGATACAAAACCCACACATTTTGAACACAACTCGCACCGATATGAACATCTCGCATTAGTTCCTTCTTTTGTGAGGTTGGCGCTTTGGAGCGAAAAATAATGATTTAGCAACAAAAGATGATAGTACTGCAATATTTACTGCACACTCGGATCTCATACAAGGTCGAGATAACTTACAAAAATATTTATATACTTGGTTCACCATTTGGAACCTTAAAATCAACAATGAAAAATCTCAACCCAAAATGTTTTCATTATAACATGTTCATTCAATTTATCCACTCATAATTAATCATAAAGCTATTAGATGGCCCCCCAATTCTACCTCAGTTAAACATTTAGATTTACAAATAGACACAAAATCAACATGGAAACACATTTCATCAATATCTAATAATGCACATATCAAAATTCTTAAATAATGACCATTCATTATTAGAAAATCCAAACTCTCAACTGATTCAAGAATCCTAATTTACAAAGCTTTCATTCGTACCACAATAACACTTGCTGGTTCTATAGGGGGTAGCACTGCAAATATACATAAACGCGGATTAGAAGTTATTCAAAATAAGATTTTACGTCAAATATTAAAAGCCCCTTGGTATATTCATAATGGCCAAATTTTAGAAGAACTAAGTAAGGATTGAATAAGTATGTGTATTTCAAAACTATCAAATCATTTTTAATCTTCTCTTCCATCTTGTCTACCAAGTAATAAATTTAAATTAGGCAAATCATGTAATAAGTTGTCCAGAATTATGACTCAATGTTCAAAAGATCTCTTCCAACCTCCTTAATTAGCAGTTGAAATTCTAAAATTAAAAAGACATTAAAATAATTGTAAATATTTTTTTATGTAGGACCCTTCCTGGTAACCTTATGAAATATATATCAATGTTATTTGATCTAGTATAATAAAGGGTGAAAAAATTGGATTGTCCTTGAAAGAGATTTGTAAGTCAAACAAGAAGAATAAACAATATTAAAAGAATAATAAAAGATGGAACACAACAACCTGAACAATGACTATGTGGAAAAGATGACAATGAGACCGTATAATATGTGCTGGATTTAAGTCAACCAAAAAGGATTTAAAAATCCCCTTTCAGATGAAAACTACCCATTAGAAATTCCTCTATACCGAATAGCGATTCTGAAACTTACCTTGATATCTGTTCACAGTCAAGTTCCATCATCCTTTAGTTAAATTACTCCGCTTGTTTTTCTGAATAACGTTATGAATCCGAATTGAATAAATGATCTAACTCACGAGACAGGTAAATACAGACAGTAAAGACAGACTTGGCAAAATGAAAACTTTCTGACCGAGTTAGGTAACAGGAAATGCAAGGATCATCGAAAACTGTTTTCTCTATTTCAAAATTTAGCCCGCCAACTTTATGCACCTTTTGACGAGACTATGAACAATGCATGGCAAGTAGCAATAGCCAAAAAAAAAGGGCTTTAGATAACTTACAGTTTTGTAGAGAAATTGCAAAGATTTTGCTGCAAAAATATGGTGTTCTGCATTTATCTCCAGGGCAAGCAAATCACATCAGTAATACTATCTCACTTTCAGCATAGAAAACAACACAAAATTTGTTGATTGTTGGACAATTTCGAAGCCAGTGAGTGGTGAACGGAAACAGAAGAACTAAAGAATGATCATTTATAAATTCGAAGATACTCTTCATGTTAAGTGATTTTTTAAATTCCATTCCTAATTTTTTTGTATAATAAGTATTTATTAACAGACTATAGAAAAAAATTATATGTACAATATTTTTCTCTTAAATGGTGTGTTATGTGCCCAGTGAGTCGTTAATGACCCATTCCAGAAAACCAATTTCCAAATATTTTCTAACAAAATGTTTTTGCCATATGTGTTCATATTACTAAGAGATAACTGATATCAAGTTTTGAAAGAAATTACTCAGAAAAAAGTTTTGGGCATAAATGGATTAATTAGAGAGTTTACTGCATAAATAAAACTCATCAACATCCCATTAAAGAAGAATACGAACACAAAGGGGAAAAAAGATGCATGGATTAATATAAAATGAAAGATTTTGAGAAATTTCCTGAAATAGAGTAGTGGGAACTGTGATTCAAAGGAATTCATAAATGTTGCATTGCTATAGAAAGAAAATAAAAAATGGCAGAATTTGAAACCCACCTCATTTAATAAATAACAATGATATAATTTTCTTTAAATAAAATATACATGGCATTGTAAAGAAGTGTTTTCGACAATCAATAGTCATGGTAATACTAAAATGTGAGAGCAATACCCTGTAACAGGTGTATACTGTTTTGTTTCACAGAAATAAAACTTGCAGATAATCAAAAACACGAACCATTTAAAACCTTCATACCTTTTAATTCAATAAAATCATCTCACTTCCCACTGGATAAGATCTAACTTTAAAAAATGTGAAACTCAATTTTTAACGCATTGAGAGCCATGAAGCAGCCAGCGGAATCAGAGCATACAGAAATTCTAGCAGCTCTATTTCATGACACCAAGTGATTGTAGTGACAGCACTTCATATCCCCCTGGGTGAAACATAAAACATCTGAAGAATAGCCCGTAGTTCACTGCTTGCCTGCCTCCCAATATTATTGGTGTACTTCAAATAACTTATTTGTTCTTAGATTATTGTACCACAGTTAAAGCCCTGGGTGCAACCAATGCAGTTCGTATTTGTGACGCTTAATGTTTTACATAAAATTGTCTCACATTTTACTGGTTAAGATCTAGCTTAAAAATGTGAAGCTCAATTTTTAAGCGTGGAAGCCCAGAAATTCACCAAGAAAGCACCTCACATTTAAATACTCACGCAACAACATTTATTTACAAATATAAACAGATGCTATAAAATTTCTGTGTATAAATATATTCTATTTTCTATTGGTGGTCCAGCGATTGGCCATGGCACTTTTATGTTGTCAGAACCGGTTGCTCCTGGGAGGGAGTGGGTGATGACATAGACTGAAAAGCAGACACGAAAGCTTGGCGAGCCACCAGTTGACTAAAGACACCATTGGGTCGTGCAGTTAGCTCTTCGTAACTGCCTAGTTCTGCCACACGACCTCCATCCAATACTGCTATTTGATCTGAGGGAAGAAATTGGCGTTTAAAATACAATTCTCATTTTTTCTGTGCTTTCATATACACATAACACACCTCACCAACTATGATTGTTTCAAAGACTTTTTGGGAACTGACTTTACCTACTATCTACATAATAAAAGGTCTATAAAACCTTCTAGACAAGCAAAATCAGCAATTTCAAAATAATGTAGCATTGCTTGTACTTGCTATATTAACACAGAAACAAAGATCAAACATTCAAATACTTCATTCAAAAACATTTAAGTAATTGCTTTTAAGAGAGTAAGAAATTTACTCTATTGAACAGCAACAGTGATTTGTTTCCATAAAAGTGATTATGTCAGTAAAGAAGACTAAACCTAGCTCAGAATTAAAATCTCGGGCAAACAACATTAGCATTATGAAAAACAAAATTTATTGTCAATAATCTCTTGTCTATTTTTCACTGACTTTAATGCTCTTACCACATGATAGCAAAACTTCAGGACAGTTGGTGTGAAGTAAAGTTGAACATCTCAATATGAAGAGTTCTATTTCATCAGCATTACTATCTGTTTAAAAATATCCCATCATACTAGTCACATGTGTTCAAGCATTGTGAATGAATTGTGCATGAATCATTCACTCAGTCTAATTGCTAATAAAATAAAAAACTGTTCTTGCAACTGTTCACTTTCATGTATCAACAATAAACACAGTTATTACCTGCAGAACGAATAGTGGACAAGCGATGAGCAATCACCATGACTGTGCGTTCCTTAAGTAATGGTCCCAGACCGCTTTGCAAGCTGGCTTCAGTGTGCGCATCCAGTGCTGAAGTAGCTTCATCTAAAATCAACACTCGTGGCTCCTAAAAAGAGTCAAGCATACTAGATCAAGGGTTATTATCTCTTAGAAATTAGAGGGACAGTTTCTAAATTTTACAGAACATTTTGGAGTACACAAGTGATGGGAAGTTTATGCATACTTTTGGTCCTAAAATTTGCATGCAAATATACCTCAAGATTGTTGAAATATGCATAGAAATGGTAAAAATAAGCAGTGTTTAGTGAAAAAAAAAAAAAAAAAAAAAAAATGCATTTTTCAATGACATTCTCATGTTTTGGCAGAAAGAAGATATGTGCAAATTCAAAACAGATGATCTACTATTGCATATTTTATTTTGCAGAACACAGCATCTTATAAAAACTGTTAAAAATGTTCTGTTCTTCAGAAGTGTCTTCTGTCAGACCTGTTTTTTGAACAAGACGCACCATCTCATGACGAAATGGGTGCTTATTTTAATTTTAACATGTTTGTGCTAAATAGATTCTTTGAAAGGTAGGTTCAGAGGGAAGGTATTTTCTCATTGTGAATCATTTTCCCCATTTTATTTCCTTACCCATCCTGTACATACTTGATACCTCAACAAATTTTTCCTAGCATGGACTGTCAAGTTTTCTATAAGTTTCTGTGTATTCCTGACTGAACATCAAGAAATTTTATGCTTTCAATTAAACAACATATTCATTTAAGCAAACAGTTTCAAAAATAAGCAAATTAATACAGTGTTATACCCCAAACCTCTAAAATACTATGCCAAATATGCTTAACAAGGAAAAAATTCTCTCTTATTCAATATGTTGTCATGAAACTTTTTTAAGTTTCTGATTGATATGACTATTATCAAAAAACATTCTTTTGCATTAACACCCCAGCTTTACCCTGGACTTTACAGAAACGAACAGAACTGAAGTGTCTGACTACACAGAGAAATGAAAGAACAGAAGAAATAAGAACATGGGAAAGAGTAGAGTGAATTGACAATCTGCTTCATAGAGGGATGTTTAAATTTTCAGGAGAGGACAAATCAAAGAATTGATCCTTATTATGAAGAACATCTCATGCAAGTGTCCAAATTAATCCAAAGAATGCTCTCAGTATGTTTTTTCTCTGGTTTTGATCATTTGGATTCCTTGATTTGAACATTTCAGTGGAAATCATTAATGAGATGCCTGATATGGAGTAACTGTATCCCTGATAAGGAGAAATGAATAGTTTTCAATCTCCAGCATGCCTCCTCTCCCAGTCAATTTCCCCCCTGGGGAAGAGGAAGAACAAAGCACACACCTGCAGAAGAGCGCGTGCGATGGCCAGTCGCTGCCGCTGCCCCCCCGAGAGCTGCGCGCCCCTCTCTCCTACAAGTGTGTTGAGTCCATCTGGGAGGCACTTGACGAACTCCAGGGCCTGTGCTTGCTCCAGAGCTTTGCGCAGTTTCTCCTCCGATGCCTCTGGCTTCAGGTCTGCCAGCAGGGGATTTTGCAGCATTCCATACAGCAGGTTCTCACGCACGGACCCAGAGAATAACACTGGCTCCTGTACACGCAGTCAATGCCGTTTGATTGTGGACATCCCTTCATATTCTGTGCATCTCTCACTGTGGTTTAACTACTTAATCTTTACATTTGTTCAAAGAATTAATTATTACAATGCATTGTTCTCAGTACCATGGTCACAATTTGGATTCTTTACGACTGCGGAATATATTCCCCCAGCGTAATTGCGTCCAACAAGGTGACAGGAATGGTGACAATTATATACTTAATCTTTAATATTAATAAAATTGCTGGTGAGTTTGATTCCTTGTAATAATTTGAGAAAAAGATGTTACCTAGTATCAATATACTTAAGATCTTTTGATCACATAGCAATCATTCAAACCAATCTTAAGAAGAAATTAAGAAGAGAAATTAAAACTTAATATTATGTGAATCTCACCAAAAGACTACAGATAATGAACTCAATTGGTTTCATAATTTAATCTAATTTAATACTTTCTTTTAAAAATATTTTAAATTTTTTTAGACCTTGCTATTAAGTCACAAGAAAGAAGTTAATGCAGTTGATAATTAATATTGACAGCATCATTTTGAAGTTTATACACATGGCTGGTAGCAAGTTCTCGACACACTTCACAAGTTCTGTAAACAATTTTTGGCACATAAATTTAACAACCTTACTCAGTAATTTGCATGCTGGCAATTTCAACCTCGGTGTAGTTGCAGAAAATGTGGATTACATCTTAGAAGTCGATAACAGAAGAAACTTATAACAAAAATTGACCTGAGGTTTTGAGCAAAATGTGGAGAAATGGGTTATTTCAAAAATACTTATGCAATACACATCAAGTTGAATTGAAAATCAAATTCTAGATCAAAATGTTTTCATCTTGATCTTGATCAGTTCCTGAGACCCCTTCATCAAATGCTGTAATGGGTCCTTGCTTTGCTTTTGGACATAAATGAATTGAATTAAATTGGATTGATGCCTTATTTTACGTGGCAAGACTCAGGCCATCAGGCCTGCTCTTCCGTCTGACCACGCAAATTTCGCTATTCTCCTTTTTAGCACTTTTACCCACTAGCAGAGGAAGAAGGTATTTCTTGGGCGAGAAACAGGCGATTTCAATTTAGCGCAGAGGTGTCATTTAGGCTTGAGGATCTTTTACATGCAAGTAAATCTACTAACATGGGACAGCCGGCTTTACTTCCCCTCCGAAGGAAGGCGTACAAAGGATTTTTTCCCTCTTAAAAATCAACAGCTTCGATCGGGTTTGAACTCGCGATATTGGGTATAACAGTCCGAGACGCTAACCGTTACATTAAGACTACTGCATAAATGTAATTTCATTACAATGTAATGATTGTCTGTCATACATTTATTGATAAAAAGATTCCAATAATTTTTAGACAATCAGAAATTTATTGGAAAATTAATTAAAGTTAAGAACATTAATTAAAGTTGAAATTTGAATAAAGCATAGAAATTGATTTATTTTTCACATTTATTCTTGAATCTAGTTCTATTCTTGAATATAATTCAAGCGTAAATGTAAAAAAGGAACCAATTTTTATATTTTATTCAAATTCATATGTTTTTTTTAAATCTTCTTCCAGTGTACTTCTATTCTTGAATCTAGTTCAATAAAAAACATGAAAAATAAACTAATTTGTATGCTTTTTTCAAATTTTAACTTTAATTAATGTGAGTGCTTTTGGAATAAATTTCTGATTGTCTAAAAAGACTTGGAATCTTTTCATCAATAAATGTAGTTTCACTATTTGCGCATGTTCTCTTGAGCTCTCATTTTGTCAAAGGTGAGAGCAGTGGAGGGTTTAGTTATTTCAGCTCCAGTCTCATCAAATCAAATCTACGGGCTGAAGCTTGTTTGCCAATGGAAACAGTTTCCATTTCATAGGAGCAAACTTTTTTTTGTTGTCAATTGTTTTCAAACATGCTATTCTGCATTCATAATTCATAAAAAGTAAAACAGTGAGGATAGGGATCCTGATGCCCAAAAAGCATGCACTGAATGTACTACCAACTCCTTTATATCAAGTAGAGTTATTACTGTTTCAGCGATGTTAAATACAGAACTGTTCCATTTATCTCAATTGCAACCATCCAGATAGCTAATTATTCAGATCGCATTCAGGAAAAAGAAATATGTATGGCTAAAATTAATTTATTAAAACAATGAGTTTATTTAGTTCGATAGTTATTACAATACAGTGCAAGTTTTTTATTGCTCTAAAATCAATCCATAGCAAATATACTAAGAAACTTTTTTCAAAAAACAATGAATACAGTTGTATATGCAATGCATGCATTGTTGTTTGTCAGTGCCAAACACAGTGCGACCTACATTGATCTGTGAAGTGACTAACCTAGACAGATTTGTTGCTGTATGTTCTGTCCAAAGAGTATATGTTTATTTATTTTTATTTATTTATTTTCAATATACAGGATGAACCCTTTACAAACAGAAAAATTTCATACATAATGACAGAAACTTACAAGTACAAAATATCAAAATAACAAAAATTAAAATAAAGTCATAACCATAAAAAGGATAAGTGTTGTAAAAAAAGAATACAATACTTGGAATCAAGAGTGTTTAAAAAACTAATTTTAAGTTGTCTTTCAAAACACTTAGGTAAAGTCAGAATTGAAAAAGAAGTTTAAAACAACTACAAAAATTTTGAAAGTTGTGATTGAAAAAATCAACCCTTTCTTCATATCTTCATAGTAATTGGCAGTTGCTATTGAAGGTGTCATAATAACTGTAGTTAGTAGAAGATGTATCCACACAGAAGCAGGTAGGATTTCTCATTCTAATCTGAGAAATGTGAAGAAAGATAAGAGAAAGAAGTTCAGGGCAATCGATGAGACCATGTAGTTTTTTATGAATGAAAAATAAATAGAATTTTCTCCTATCCTGAAGAGTTTGCAATTTAAATAAATTGTAGAATTTGGAAAGGTCATGATCGAATCTATGAGTAGGTGTTCCGTTTCTGAAAAGTAGGTGACGTAGAAATTTGCTTTGTACTTTTTCCAAATGATTGATAGATAAATTATTTAAAGGTGACTAAATGACAGAGACGTAATGTAAAATAGGACAAATCAAAGTTTTATAAAGAATTAATAAGTTATCAGGGGACTAGAAGAATTTGGTGTTGTGCAAAATCAGACCAAGGGAATGCAGAGCTTTATTTACTGTAACAGTAATATGTATATCAAAATCAAGTTTAGAGTCAAAAATCACTCAGAGATCCCCGTTGTTAGAGACAATGCTCAGGGACACACTAAAGAATATGAGTAGCTCATGACTTTATGTCTCCGGGCAAACGTTATGTTCTGCCCTCCGTATTTCTTTCATTAGGTGCATGTATTTTAGTTTATGCATGTTGATGTTTACTCAATTAATCCAGATAAATGGAGTTCTGCTGTAAATAAATAAGCAAGATAGACATCTAGCCTGCAAGTTTGGTAGTATAGCAAGTTAGCCTATTGGACTGTTGTACCCAAAATTGGGGGTTCAAACCTGATCGAAGCCGTCGATTTTGAAGGGTTAAAAACGTTCTCATGCCTTCCTTCAGACAGGAAGTAAAGCTGGCGGTACCATGTTGTAGATATACCGTATGTGAAAGATCCTCAAGCCTAACAGAAGCCTATGAGATAAATTCAAAATCACCTATTTCATCACCTGAGATAATACCTTCTTTCTCTTCTAGATGGTGAAACGAGCAAAGCTAAATTTGTTTCGTCAAACGGAAGAGCAGGCCTGATGGCTCAAATCTTGTAAAATAAAGCATTAACTAACTAACTAACCTGTTGTACAGCGGCAATGTACTTCCTAAGCCACTTGGGGTCCAGAGCAGACAACGGTTGCCCGTCCAGAAGAACTGTGCCCGCAGTGGGGTCGTAAAAGCGCAGCAGCAGTGCGGCCAACGTGCTTTTCCCTGAGCCGGAGCCGCCAACCACGGCGGTGACACACCCAGCTGGCAGGTGCAGGCTCAACTCCCGCAAAATAGGAGCAAACGGCCGAGACGGGTACACAAAACTCACTTTTTCAAACACCACATCACCAGCAGGTGGCACTTGAGGCCACACACCACCTACAGAAGAAATGAAACAATTTATTATTACCTTTATTTCATACACTAGATGAAGTGCAGCGATTATATCACATAAAAGTAAGAACTGTAGAAAAGTCATGTACTTCATGTATTTGTGTCTTAGGACTTTTCACAAGACAAGTACTTACTAATGTAATGATTTTATTTAACCCATTTTTTAAATGTTCAAAATTGAATATGTTGGGGGAGAGAAAAAAAAATCTTAATAGAAAACAAAGAGGAAAAATAAACCACATATCAGAGGACCATACCAGCGCATTGGAAATCATTAGAGCACAGACAAAAATAGGGCATGACTTTGCGCGTTGTATAAATCATTCACTGGTTGCTCTACATGACAGGAAATCCAGGGACGATTAGATAAAGCACTTTATTTAAATATACTTAATCATAGTCATAAAATTAGAACAAGAGTATAAAGAATGGACATATGCAAGTTCTCCTTTGTAAAGCGAACAATAGTAGATTGGAATAATTTGCCTGTGACAGTCTTTCAGTCCATTTCTTACTCCGAGAGAGGTTTTAGGAAAAGGTCAGGAACTTAATTAATATGGTGAAAATATGAAGTGAAAGTTCATGAAGTGAAAACTTAAAGCCCGCAGAGAAAAAGAATAGAACAGTTAAAATTTAGGTATTGTACAGTGCAGTGAAGTTATGTGGAAGTTTATTTAATTTTCCTCTCTCTTTTTCCTTCTTCTTTGTTACTGCTGTAATAACCTTTTTAGCTCAACTCTTTTTACATGCTAGGATATTTTCTATACTAATGAAGATCTCACATATTAGAAAATGTAATAAATATATTGTATGTTATTATATTGTAGAGTTAGGGAAATTAGTAATTACTAATCCCTAGAGGTTTGTTTATGCTTATGAATGTATAGGTACAGAAGGTTGTATGTATGTGCTTGCAAGTACATTGTGTATGTATATTTATGTAGATGTGAATATAAATATAGTATGTATTTGCATATATATATATATATATATATATATATATATATATATATATATATGTAAATGTCATGTGGTATGTAAAGGATGAATTAAAGTAAATTTTTATTTAAAATACTTTATATATTGTATACACGTATTTGTAAGTGTATACAGCCATATATTCTGCCATGTCGGAACATCAACCAAACTGCAGAATATAGTCTTTACAAACAGAAATGAACTGACCTTGCAATGGAATGGCAGGCTTTCTGTCCAACAATTCCCATAGTCGAGTGCCTGCACCTAGACCACGATTCAACTCCGTGTAAAAGGAACTCAGACCACCCAGAGAAATGCCCACGTACGCAGCATACAGAAGAAAGGCTGAGAGCGCCCCAACCGTGATCTCTTCAGATCCAACAAGGCTTCCTCCGTAATACAACACTGACAGGATGATCGCGTTCCCACTCAGTCCTGTCTGAAGCAAGCGAGGAAGACTGATACAGATTACAGATAGCTGCCTCCTTTGCAGAAAAATAATAAAATGTAAGAAATAATGGCCATAGGACAATCATATTAAACTGTAAGACTCTTTTTAAGACAGGAAAAAAGAGAAAATGTACAAGTATATTTCAGTGAAAATCTAAATCTCATTACTTATTTACAGAGTTTTTTAAATCACATTCCAAGAGTTATTTTTTCTCCCATCGTCAGGTTTTTAAAACTAATTTAACCAGTGCATTTCATTTCTTTAAAATAGTGAAAACCAACACTTGGCCATGTCATGACTGAAACCGATAAACCTATTAATATCACCACTAATTGTTTTCATACTATTCATTTTAAAAGCCTGATGACAGGACAAAACATACCTTCTGAAACATTGTAAATATATAAACAATATGGTTTGGATTGCCACAGAATTTTATTTCCTAGTTTGACAGCATTAAAATGTGGAATTCCATTTTAATAGTTCACTAAAAATCACAATTAATAGTATGTAAGACAAAAATTTATATACAGTACAATAGTTTCAATATTCCAAAATGTATCACAGTGTGGTCACTAGTTTTTTCAGGGAAAGATATCCCTAACTTTTGCTGTTTTTTCTGGACATTTCATTATTTTCCTCACAGAAAATTTGAAGAGGAATTAACAGTATTTATAGAAAATATCAAATAAAACAAATAGAGATCGATATTAAATTACTGCTAAAATACTTTTTTCCATGTTCAGATTTTCTTGTACTATTATTGTGAAAAAGATAAATATTGCAATATTGACATGGAAAATAAAAATTGAGCCAAAAAAGATGTACCAATATTATTTTAATAATAATAATAATAATAATAATAATAATAATAATAATAATAATAATAATAATAATAATATAAAGTTTTACAATTGTCTACAAAAATTGCCATGACTTCTAACAGTTCATCTGAAAATTTCCCGATTTTTTCAGTTTTCCAGAAAGTGATCATTCCACATCATATCATAGAGTAATGTATCAGAGATCATCAAATTACCTAATTCTATAGAAGAAATATAACTTCAAGCACAAGTCACCCCTACTAAAGGAAATTGACAACTTTCATAGAGCATTCAGAACATTCAATCAAGAGAAAAAAGGTACATTAGAGCACATCTCATGAGATTCAAAATGTCTTTCTCACTCTATTACATGAATTGAAACACAACAACACAAAAACATTATGTACCAACCACTGAAATGTCAGAATTAATAGTCATGCAAAGACTGAAATTTTTCAAACAAATTAGTCTACTTAACAACTAATCCATCTTGATGACACCAGTCTGATTTAGAAAAAAATACTTTATATATTCCGCTATAGAGCTACACTAATATACACTATTTTGTATGCCATTTTAAAAGAAAGACATTGAATCTATTTTATCACACAGGACCAGGGCAGGCTATTTGATTTTAAGTATACAGTTCTGTCAGTTCAATATTTTCTTTACAATTATACTTAATAGGATGACTCAAAAGATTCTTTTAAATACTACAATTTAGCATTGCCAGATTATTAAACAGACTGAGTAGGCTGCAGCCTCAAGCGAGCAATTTTTGGGGTCAAATGAATTTCAGTAGATGCAAAATTTCATAAGGCGAACTTTTGAATGTTTTTATAGAAATATTTATTTCCGTATTTGTAACAAAAGTTACAAAGAGTTAATTTTTCAAATACATACATTAATGTATTCACATAAAATGGATACAAAAATATTGCATTCAATAAAACCTGTGAAGTTGGAATTCCTTCCTATACGAAGTTCCTTACTTTTCCCAGTTTGAGTGGATTTTCAAAAAAAATTTCCTGATAAGATTTTCCTGATTTAATTTTTTACTATGTAAAGAAAATATTGAAGATAGCCTGATACTAATTGGTCAGCTCTCCGATTTCACCACAAGAAATTACAAGTTACCGATATTTTATCAACAAGCAAAATTGAACAACAAATAAAGCTGTACTATAACAAATAAAGCTGTCTTTCCACAAATTCCCAGACTTTTCCTTGTCTTTTCCAGAGCAATGAAATTCCCAGTTTGCCATATTTTCCAGAATGTGGCCACCCTGTTGTATTCCCAAATGCAACATTTACAAACATGCAAATCCAAATGACATGAGGGCTCACCATGGCAAAGAAGATGGACTTGGCCATGGCCTCCTTGGAAGCCAGCTGCAGCACTTTGTCCACAGCAGAGGAGAAGCGACGTTCTTCTTGGGCCTCAGCGCCCAAGGCGCGAACTGTGCGCATGCTGCCCAAGCGCTCCTCTGCCACTTGCGTGGCTTGTGCCAGAGAGTCCTAAAAAAAAAAATTAAAAAAAAAAAAAGGATTTTTGAGTTCATTGCCAATATGCATATACACTAGAAGGTCCACAACTTTTTTTTTCTTTTTTTTTTCCAGCACCTTTTACAAGAATAGATGATGACAAAACAATGGGAAAACTGTTTTTGAGAGTGCATAACCTCGCCTAAATTCTGGATTTCAGTGAAAAAAATCATTATTTTTGCTATTTTTCTATGATCCTATAACTGATTAATATGATAACAGAATTTTGCTTTTATATTTGTAAGGTATCATTATACTAATTTATTAAGACATAAGGCTCAAAAAACCTTATTTATTACCATTTATTAATTACTTAATTAGTAAGTTAATAAAACCATTCATTACTTTTCTACAAAAATTACTTGTGTAGATCCAGTTAACCAGAACCATGTAATATATTCCTGTTTGAAAGAAACAAGTATATTGAGTCATACCTTATTCATCTCAATTCATAAGATTTTACAAATGGTGAAAGACATTCTGTCATGATAATGATCAATTATTCAGAACTATGGGTAATAAAAAAAATTTGCAGCAGTTTTAGGCAATGTTAGGCATTTTCAAAAGTATTTTTAAACTTTTCCTCCATTATTTTTACATTACTATTTATTGTTCTAAGGGGTGTTGCAAATAATTATTTTTTTTCCACAGTCGCCCTAAACAGGAATTGGGGATGGAATTCAGGCAAGGCAACACTCAATTGCAGTTCATTAACAATCAAGAGAGCTCAGATTTCTAGGACAAAATCTGCATTCTAATTATTACAATTTAGGTATTTGGCCCCTCTAAGCATTTTATTTCATCTGATTAATAATGTTGCTTTTATGGGATTCTGCCAATTTATTTAGTAATGCTCTTAACATTTGTTCTATAAAAAATTCCACTGTTCATGTAAGCAAAAGTAATAGCTGATGCATTATTAGAGCATTTCAGCCTTTTAGCAAAAAACTGTCAAGACCATGATCTACTAGTGGCTTCTCACTTATCAGTTGATTTTCATCCTGCACTTTGCTTCACAGTGAAACTATATAAACTCCAGGCTCTGACTGACAGACATTGGAAAATAAAAGGGCAACCCCCCTCCTTGATGAACCAACTTACTAGAAACAGTAATAATCGCTGCCCAATACTGAGACAAATATCACAAAAATAAATAATGCTTTAAAGTAGTCAATATTTAAAAGATAGATAAATACATTTTTTTAAAAGAACTTTAATAAAATGACAATCGATGACCGAGGTACAAGGAAGTGTTTTTAGCAGAAGACAAAATTGAACTCATGGATATGTACTCACCTGAACTTTTTTAGTGATGTTGCGTACAAATTTGCCATAAATGACTGCTAGACCAGCTACGGGAGGAACAATGGACAAACCGACCAATGCAAGCTGTGGAGAAGTTGCAATCTGTGAACATGTTTCAACAGTGACCAACTTAGAACTGTGTAAATATATATGCACATATATACGGAAAATCGATTTTGAGATTTCAATGGAAATACACCTTTTGTGGTCTCCAGATACAGTAAAACTGGTTTGTTTATTGTTTGTTTTAAATTCAAAACGTCTGTCCTTCTGTGAACACCACTAGCAGCTAATACATGCATAGGATTTATTCCAAATTGAAGACACCCCTGTGCATCTCGCTCGAGTCGAAGCTTTGAAATTGAAAAACTATCTTTAAAATTTGGGGTACTTTACATGTAATCTTATCCAGGTGGCATAGGTCCGATTTTTACTGTTAACTCTAAATTTTCGAAAATTGCAAAATACTGATTTTTTTTCGGCGTTTTCTCACAACTACTATTGAAGTTAAAGATTTTTTCTTCAAATAAAATTTATTCTTCATACTTAGTTATTTCATTAAGGACATCAACATTTTTTAAAAAAAATTAATCGTTTTCGCGCAATATTGCGAGCAATTTGTGCAATTTTAAAAAACTACAAAAACATTTTCTCAAAAACAGTTCCAATTTTTTTTTTTAAACTCTTGATAGGTATAATTGTGAATGCTCTATAAGATGACATAAACGCCATATTGCTCTATTCTTTTGTTTTTTTGTTGTTGTTTTTTTCTTTTTTCAAAAACTTCTATAATGTAATTTTTAATTGTTTCTCACGTCGTTAATATTTATATTAGTTGCAATTTGTTCGTATTATTGTATTTATGAGTACATGTTTTAAATAGTCATATACAGTTTCTCGAAAACTCAACAGTTTACTGTGAAAACTAGCTCAAAATTCCGCATTTTCAGAAACGCTTAAACTCCATTTTCTCAAAAACGGCTTCAAATTTTTCCTTCAAACTTATCGAAAGGATAGTGCTAAATGCACTCTGCAATATGACATAGGCTTAAAGTTAATTTTGGTTATTTTTTTTAATTACACAAATGTAATTTGTTTGAAATATCTCTAAAATGCACTCTAACAATTTGTTAACACTATTCTATTTGTGAATTGAATTACTTAAAACGACTTCAAATGAAGTTTTTCGATAACTCAAAAATTTTCTGTAAAAAAGAGCTTGAAATTTCGAATTTACAGTAGCGCTTAAAACATTTTCTTAAAAACGGCTGCAAAGTTTTCAAAGAAAATAGCAATTTACGAGGTTTTACTGTTCTTTAATATTAACCAAATCACATATTCATTTCATTATATAAAAAACGACAAATTAAGAAAATGTCCAAAAAATGTACAGTGGGCGGCGATAATGGCAGATGGCAAGAGTGTGACAAGTTCGTATAGATAGATGGGACCAAAGGAAATAGAAAAATAATACGGGAAAGTCTATACCATTCTATAGTAACATTAGTTCGCAGTCAGATAAACGTTGATCTTCGCTCAGTTAATCAAAATGCCACTCCCTTTTTTACTCGTTTATCGCAAAACTCGATTTTTACGCCGGAAAATGTATCCTACCCTATTGCTTCGGATTTGCAATATCAATGTCACCTCTAAAATATTTTAGATCCTTACGAGCTGTTTCAACCAAATTCTATGCTTGGTAAAGATCAAAATTAGATTTTTGCCGATTTTGAGACACAGCATTAGTCGCGATAAACATTTTTGATTGCAATAAAACTTGGAAAACAAACCCAAACGTCTCCTTTCTCTTTTCAGCTAGCACGTGTGAGTTCGCTCTGAGGCACATTTGATTTTTAAAATTATTCTTGACAATATTTACAAAACATCGGCAAATCTGATTCGAATCGTCAAAAGGGGGTCATTTCTGTTGTGGGTCTACCCAACTTTAAACGAAGCAAATAAATATCAGGGGCCCCGGGCTGTCAAATTACAAATTCGTAAAACATCTTCGCGTCCTCATTATAAAATAAGTAATTCCAACTCCACAATAGTCGATTTATGGTAATAAATCACTTTCATGAGGAGCCCTTAAAGTTGGACCAAAAAACCTATTACTTTTGCGGGCCCAGGTAAGTGCACCTGCCATGCCGAAGGTAGGTACGCCACTGTATCATACGAGCCCTTATATGGGGCGCCAGCAACCCGAAACAATCACATCTTGCAGAAGGATAAAATCACCGTTATTTATTTCTTAATAAGAACATTAATATTAAAATCTGAACAATATGAAAAAGTGTGTAATTAAATTTTCAGAAAAATTCTCGCTATACATTTACCACAATTTCAATGGATTTGAGATCGAGTAGAAAGCTCTCTTAATTTAGACAACTCACATTGGCTTCTGTCAATCATTGTCATTTTCCAATATATCTAGGGTTAAGTATGCAATATGATGTTTTATGGATAACACCACCAGACGTTTTGTGGCTTTCAAACGGAATAGGTCCCAGCGAAGACAGCAGCACACGCACACACATTGTGGTAGTGTGATAGGTCCCTTCGCAGGTCGTAGTTTCGTGCAACGCTTGGATATCCACAATCTGGTCTACGTAAAAATGTTCCTTTTGTGCTTGTTAAAAGCGGGATGAGCAAGAACATTTTCGTGAAGTAAGGTTCTTGCGAACAATTCAGTTTGACACAAAGAAAAACAATTCTATTGAATGAGTTGTATTTCGAGGATTTTCAAGTACATTTTCCACATCATCCTCGAAGTTGAAACACCGTGTTTGCCCATTTTCATTCGCATATCCAACTGTTTCACAGGCGGAACTCTCTCGTAAATAGGGTATAATGGAATTCTCAAAACTGCTTCTGATATATTTATGTATCTGCCACTTTGATAGGTAGTAATTTCATCATTCTGATTTTGAAAACCAGACAAAGCCAGTTAGGAACCTATGTTAATACATTTGTATATGTATTTAATGTCACGCAGGGATATTAAATACAGAATTAATTCTCAGTGGGGCCCCAGGCGATTATAAATTAGAGCCCCCCTCAGTTTTCATTAAACGTCCCCCTAACGATATTACGTGTTATTAGGTATTTACTCTGAATTTATACATTATCATAACTTTAAAAGTGTTTGATGTAAGATTTCACTTTATTACATTTTTGAAGTTCCGGAAAAAGTGTAAATAAAAAGGTGACTGTGTTCAATAATTTGAAGTGTTTAATGTCGTCGTGGCCTCAAGGCAACTTTCTACTACTGCCTGTTGGTTAATTCATCACTGGTTTCACACTACTGCATAGTTGGACAGTAACATGATCCTGAAACTTAAGTGCCAACACAGGCGACTGTGGCGATCCATATTATATGTATAATAAAATAATACTGTGGTACAACCAAAGCAATCTATCTCCACTGAGGGTCCAAAGTCTGAATTCACATAGACCGCAGGTAGTTCAAAATCATATTTTTGAACAAACCTATTTTTATACTCTTTGAAGGCAATTTTGTCCATCTACATGGTCAGAAAGAAAAACAAATGCTCTAAAGAATACTCAAATACGCATACGATAAGAAAATAAAAGTGGACCTTATGTACATGAATACAGGATAACACAGATTATACGAACTCGTTTTTTGACCTTAGAGCGTTTGGATTATTGACGTTCGAATTACCGAGTAAGACGAAGTGAAACCGCAATCAAAATAGCTTTCGGTGTCTATCATGTGTCTCACACCATATCAGGGAGTTTGTCAGTCAGTGTATGTGCCTGCAGTCCCAGACCAGGATAACAATGTCACGATAATTTTCGTATTTCGAACAATATTTTATGTTTAGTTTTCTAATATTTTTATCTTTCTACGACATTTTACAATACTTTATTGCCTCAGAGATATCACTTCCAACGAACCATGTCTGCAAGCCATGGCCACTCCAAAATACGTTCAACTCCATGATAAAAAAAGGCTACCCATCAACGGCCCCACAATTCTTTAGCTTATGTTAATTTATTTAATTTCACACACACACACACACACACACACAAGTAAAAGAACACACAGCAGTGTAGTCTATGCATATTCTCTTGAGCTCCAGAATCTCTTTACTGTACATGGTTGAATGATCAATAAAGGTACCAACAAAGAGAGGCTAGCGACACTTGAATAACTAGTGATTTTTCGCTCTTAAGTAATAGAAATTGCATCGGTAAACGCACTAGAAATGTGATCTGCTAGTATTGCTAAGAAAGTAGTAATCCATAACCCCGGGTCTGCCCCAACACAACTAACAAAAGGAGAGATCAACAAAACGTGCGCAGGTAAGCTACATTTATGACTAGAAGCAAGACAATGAGCAATCTCAGCATTTGCTCAATCGTTCAGGGAAAATGGACAAAAAACCCGGCCGATGTAGGTATTGACAGAAAAATCCCATCGAGACATTGACCCAGAAGACGAAATGCATTACATATTAACGCATATTTGATATTATTTATTTAAATATTATACACAGCCTATTAGTAAATTATTTCATGCGTGATTCACTCCATTTTAATTTCAAGTAGAATCAAATTTACGTGACGTTAGCGAGGCTTAATTCTTTTGACTTCTTTATCTTCAACCCAGTGGTCAAAACATCACATTTTTTTCACCCGCACTTTCACGCAAAATTACGAGAGAAGTACTCAATTTTTTTAAAAACTGTATATGATCTTATTTCAAAATATATCTTCAAGAAACTGATATCATTAGGGAAAATATTTCAATTTTTAATATTTTATTTGAAGGAAGACTCCAAAAAAATGTGGAACTTAAGAAATTTTCGAAAAATTAGGGGTTTTAACGAACATGAGACCTGCGCCTATCTCTTAAACGTCCTTCAAGCTATCCAAAAACAAAATTAAATCAAAAACGATGGAGCCATTTATTTTTTATAAAAAATTGGTAAATGTCCCAGGGGCATCATGTAAAGTACTCTTCAAAATTAAAATATCGGTTTAAACGTGAAGAGGCCGTGACATCGGCCAGATCGATTGAGGAATATCAATTTTGGAGAAATTCGGCAGAATAGTTCAGCCGCTAGCGTTGACAGACAAACAAATGTTTTGTCCTCCATCGATTTTTCGGTGTCAAGGACCCACAAAACATGGATTCCAGCTAAACCACGATTTTTTTCTAAATTTAGAAACTGGATTTATTCACTTGTTTGTTACCAGGGCCTTGTAATAAGAGCTTTTCTGCCGAAAATTCGGCGTTTTTCCACGCAGCGTTATACAACTTTCTCTCTACTCCGTAGCGCGAAAGCAAAAAGTGTGACGTATAGGAAAGTCGCACAGGCTGTGAACTCTATCTTGAGCTCCGAAATCCCTACCCTAGCTCGTACATTAAGTTGAATTACGAATAAAGATAGCAATTAGCATAGTTGGTTAGATTTTCCACAACGATGTTCGTTCTCGTGAAATAGAAACCATTTTAATCAGCGATCGAGCAACAGTCGTTTGAAGGCGCTGCTCCCGGAATAACTAACACCCTGCCAGTCCTCTCGCACCTGCACACTCAGAACTCAAGGAAGCAAGGGCGAATAGTGAATTCATATATACAATCCGCTGCGCTCTCCTCAATGGATCACGGTAAATTGAAAGAAAAATTTAATGGAGATGGGAGATCTCGCCATCGGCAAGTTAGGCCCAAAACAGTGTCTGGGCGAGGTGGCACAGTGCATCAATTGATATCAGTGCAGTGTTTGGGAGGTCGTAGGTTCGAGTCCTGTCGTCGGCCGGTTGCCCTGATCGGTGGTTTTACCTGGCTTCTCCCGTCAACACCAGGCGAATAACAGAGCAGTACCCTTACTAACAGGGCACGGACCGCGCGCGATCTTTCCTTTCTCTTCCTTGTCCTCTCCTCACACCTTACTAACACACAGTGACACTCACAGGCACTACGCTACCGGACATTGCTTGGAGAGCGGTCGGGAGCTTAGAGCGAGTCCCGGATGGGGCGGTGCACCGCTAGTGGAAGATGGCTGCTTGGCAGGAGAATTGTTTGGTAGACTTCCGTTGTTCAAATTCAAGTCCAATAGAACGAAGCCATCAAACGGATGCAAACGTACTGGCCATAAATACCGAAATTCGAAGAGCCCACGTTGTGACTTTCATCGCGCTTTTAATTGAACTCGTAATAGACTTATCTTAATCACAAAAATATGAAGTAAACGATATTTCTTAAGTAGGAAAATCTACTTTCCTTGCTTCCTAGCTACTTACACACACTGATATCGTACGAACATTCTCCAGTTGAGGGAATCACAATAAAAGGGGGGAGTTTAACAATTTTAGGTTAGGCGATGAAACAATCCGAAACGGCGGGCGATTAGTTTTTAAGTCCGAGTGGGTTGTTGACCCAGGTGGAGGTCCCCCTCCATCTTCCACAAAAACCTATGTGAAGCGGACAATACAAAACATTTTTTTCAAATTGTCATGTTTATCATTAAATTTTGATCACATTTATCTGTAATCGCACTTATTTTATATAACTTCAGCACAGTTGACGTTAGGCATGAAAATAGCACTGCACTTTGTGTTTTTTACATAAACATTTAACAATTTTTGCGAATGGATTATGTCGGTCACGTAGCTATAAACATGCAAAACCGCAAATATTGGTGAGTCGATCTCGCAAACAGTTGATCGCATTTACGTTTTGAGTCGAGTAAGAAACTTCTTGCATTTCTGGATTGACGTTTATGGAATATTTCTCTCGCCCCAAATTTCGAGTCGGGAATTTTACACACTCGGAATGTTCCGCGTGGGTACAGCTACCCACCATATCCACATCATCCGCCGGACCTGATCGCGAATCATTGTTCGTGTTACTCATCGACCAAGCCCTGCGGTCGTATCTCGTACCTGCTGGCCAGCACCCCAGTCGGGACGAGCTCAAAACTCCCGATCGGTCTCCCGGCATGTGTGGTACTGTAGTGCAAGTCACTGTAAGTGTAAGTACAGGATGAGGATTGGACAAGGAAGAGGCGGTCCTTGGCCCGTTTGTCAGGGAACTGCCCCGGCATTCGCCTGGTGTTGATCGGAGAAACCACGGAAAACTACCGGCCGCTACAATTCATCTCCAGACAGCGTCTGAATATTCGATCTCGCTGACATTTAGTGTCGAAACTCCTGCCAGCATCGGGACTCGAACCTCCGACCTCCCGGTCAGAGGCCCTGCAGCGACACCAGTGAGCCACCTTTGTCACTCGTCGAGCGAGCCCCCCCCCCCCCAAACGAGCGAACGACAGCGCCCAGGCAACCTCCCGGAAAACAAAACATCTTTCACGGCCACCTGCCAGCGGGCGGTCTGCAGTGAGCGTTTGCCGATAGCGACGGTATACGTCGTCCACGCACGGCGTATCGTCAACGCACAGCGCCGACTCCAAACAAACGCCGCTCACGGGCGGAGAACGGCACGACAGACGCGCATCGCAGAGACGCGGCTACGTCGGCGGTCGCCCCCGCTGCTCAGACCAGGTGCGTGGAAAAGCGAGCGGCAAGCTGGCCAGCTTTTTTTTTTTTTTTTTTTTTTTTTTTTTTACATATTAAAATATCTAGAGATGTTATGAGTGTTATTACTACCGATGCCACATAATTTGGACGAGGCAGTAATAACACTCATAACATTTCGTGGTATGTTCAACGTTTTAGCGGTCACCATAAAATCTCAATTTTTTTGAGAAAATTTACATTACCACGATATGCAACACATGAATTCTGTTGTTGCGACACGATAATCGATATTGTTGGGTATTGCTTGCGATATATCTATTTCAACAATGCACTTGTATACCGTGGCTCGAGAAAGATGGACGCTGAAAATTCGTCTGTACCTCGAGAAATTTTGGATGCATCTGCTGAAGTCACGCGAGATTTAATCCCTAAAAATCTAAAGCACGATACAAGAAGGCATACGAAGAATTTAAAACTCGGCAATTACAAAATCACGTAGCACTTAATGCCTGCGTCATTTAGGTTACTATAATATTACTGAAGAAGAAATCCATTTTGTCAAGTGCAACGAAAATAATGCTAATTTACCAAATATTTATTTTACAAACTGTACAATTAATAACATTATAATTAACAATTAACATCCCCAAAAATTATGCATTTCTTTGATTACTATTTGTCTTTTAATTACCATATGATTTTTTCGTAATAATGTTGACTTGCGATGAATGGGTGGTTGTTTATTTAGGTTGCTAAGAATGTTAAAATCCGTTGCTAAGGATTTTAAATTTCTTAACCTTCAGGTAGGTACAAGTGCACTTAACAAACTTAAGGGGTTGAATGTTAACAAGGGTTAAAGATGCATGTGACCGATTAACGTGCAAAAAACAGTTCAAAACTGTGTTGACATACTAAGGGGAGAAGAGTATTCTGTGCACGTTTTCTTAAATTCTGGGATCCCTACCCTACTCCGCACACAGAGTCGTGGCTAGAGATCATGAGCGCCCCTGGTAAGATTTGGAATTTGCGCCCCCGAGATTTCTTTTCAAGGAAGAGAAACAACTCAATAACTTTGAAAGCCTAATGAATATTGAAGTTATGTATACATTTAGCTCTTACTTATTATTATATTGGAAGGGAAACAATACAATAGTAGTTCGTTCATTTAGACATCACATTATCTCTTAAAAGTGAACTTTACTCGCTTTTTCTGGGGCCAATTTGTCAATCATATGGTCTACATTAATACTTTTTGCAATGTCAAACTCAATCGACAGTATGGCGAGATTGCTCAACGTTCTTGACCATAAATCATTTCTGCGACCGTAAATCATTTTTTATTAATTACAATTTGATGAAAGCTGCTTTCACAGTTGGCAGAAGCCACAGGTAGTGTCAATGCTAGGCAAGAGCATTGCCAACATTGGGATAACTGGTTACTAAGCCATGGCAATTAATAAGTGCAATATATATTTTTTTTAAATAAGGTATTAATAATTTTATTTGGCGTTGGTAGCTTTCAAACTCTAAAGTCAACTCGTTGGCATTTAAATCACATTCGTACTTTAATGCGAAATTAGCTACGGATTTCTTGAGTCCTTCAATGGTATCCTGACAAGACTTTCGTGAAACGAAAGTCCTGTAAGGAAATCAAAATCAGAAGCTACGGTAGCTACTGTTTGAAATGTCCATCCCTTTCGCTGAATACGTTTGTCTAGTGCACAGTAAAGCTGAATTTTAAACTTTTGACGTGGAGTCATTATGGCCGCATCACCCTTGGCCGATTCGTCGAACACTGCTGCTGCTACTCAGGGCATCAACTGATGTCACTGCAGTGCCTCTGATCTGGAGCCCCGACCGAGGCAGTATTTTCGACACTAGCTTGTCAGCTAGGTCGAATATTCAGTCGCTATCTGGAGAAGAATTCCGGCGGCCGGCGGCCCTTTGTCGGTAGTTTTCCGTGGTTTCTACGACCAACACAAGGCGAATGCCGGGGCAGTACCCTAACCAACGGGCCGCGGACCGCGCGAGATATTTCCTTGGTCGTCTCAAACCTATCCTCACACCTTGCATACACTCACACTAACTGGCACTTGTGGCGTCTTTGCCGGGGCAAACAATTACAGACGTGAACGGCTTGTAAATATTTAGCATTTATTAGAATAAAAATACTCCGACACCATAATACTATTTACAATATTTACAAATAAATTTGACCGTTACAAGAAGGAACCTTCCCTGGTTACCACCACCGCTGGCCCCATAATTAATTACCATATCCGGTGTGATGCACCAGTACCTTACGCGAGCATACCTGCGAGTATGCCGCACATGCAGTCACGACGTAGCATCGCCGGCTTCGGTTCCCCGCCTCGGTAGCCTATGCATTACAATGCAACGCCGCGCACAACCCACACGACGCCCTACCGACCCGCCCAAACCTGAGGAATCAGAAGAACAGAAGGGAGCTATTAAGTCGGGGTCCGTTTATATACCTTCCGGGCAGGCTGACCCGCAGTGTCCGCCAACGCGTTTCCGCCGCCTCCGGGGTCTCCACGTTGCCACCCACGACCCGGCACCCCTTCCCTTCCGCTCCCCAGCGTCTCTTCCGCCAGCGCTGTCCACGTGGCTGATATTTGGTACTTTTGTACTGGCGACAGATATGACGCCACACACTTCATTAGCGCACGTGACGGAGAGCGGTCGGGAGCTTAGAGCTTGTCGCGGTTGCGGGAAAACACCGCTGGCCGACGGTTTTCGCCATCTGGGGGGGGGGGGGGAGATCGCCGCCACCTCCCGAGCATAAAACACTAACGGGCCTAATGACCTTAGCAGAGGACGCGCTGGGAATCGCTAGCAACCGATGAACCGATCAACTGACTGTTGAGAGAGCAACGCGGGCCGTTTCCCGCCGAGGATTCGTTTCGCACGAGCCGAGCGAGCGAGTGGGCGGATCCGCCGCCAACCTACACGTCGACTTGTGTGGTTGTGTAGTGCAAGTTGGTGTAAGTGTGTGTAAGTAAGGGGTGAAGATAGGGCAAGGAAGAGAAAGGGAAGATCGCGCGTGGTCTGCGGCCCGTTTGTTATATCACTGCTTTGGCATTCGCCTGGTGTTGATCGGAAACTACCGATCAGAGCAGCCGGCCACTAAAATTCTCCTCCAGACAACATCTGAACTCGACATACCTACACTATGTGATCAAAAGAATCCTGACAACGGCTGAAATGACTTACAGTTCGTGGCGCCCTCCATTGACAATGCTGGAGTTCAATAGGTTGCTAGCCCACCCTGAGCCTTGATGACAGATTCCATTCTCGCAGGTATACTTTCAATCACATACTGAAAGGTTTCTTGGAGAATGGTAGCTCGTTCTTCACGAAGTGCTGCACTGAGTGGAGGTATCGATGTAGGTCGGTGAGGCCTGGCACGAAGTCGGAGTTCCAAAACATCCCAAAGGTGTTCGATAGGATTCAAGACAGGACTCTGTGCAGGCCAGTCCATTACAGGGATGTTATTGTCGTGTGACCTCTCCGCCACAGGCCATGCTGCATGAACAGGTGCTCGATCGCGTCGAAAGACGCCATCGCCATCCCCGAATTGCTCTTCAACAGTGGGAAGCAAGAAGGTGTTTAAAACATTAACGCAGGCCTGAGCCGTGATAGTGGCTCACAAAACAACAAGAGGTGCCGCCTCCAAGAAAAACACGCCCACACCATTTTGGACGTGTCCGAATATTTTTGATCACATAGTGTATTATCTAGCTAGTGTCGACAATCCTGTCACCATCGGGCCTCTTGGACAGAGGCACTACAGTGACGTCGTTGATGCCCTGAGCCACCTCGGCCGCTAGGAAAGGAGTGAAGGAATGAAGTGTGTTCACGGACACACGAGCGCAAGGAACGGACGTACAAGTTTCTTCTTAGTTCTTTATGAAAGCACTGCCACCTTCCTTGTTAAACGTCTATTGTGACAATTGTGCTTTAACAGCCAAATCGGTGGTCAACAACGTATTTCATTCATTTATTTATTTTTTGAAGATAATGCCAGCAGGCACACACCCAATTACAGGCTCACAAATACAAATAGACATACATACACACACGCACAAAACCTCTAGTTTGTAACGGCGGCTACATATTTCTTCGCAGAAATAGATCCTGCAAATCAATCTATCTCATGAGTGCAACTGACATTTCGTATCATTTACTGACGGTTCCCCATTTAACGTGCTGGTGGAAAGCAACCCACTCAGAGGCGGGGAAGGCTCTGGGAAGGAAGGGTCTCGTGTTAATTGAAGCCCTCGGTTCTACACAGACCTACGCCACATTTGCGACAAAAATATGATAATGCCACTAACGTACTCGCCATATCGATAATGACATGTGGTAAAAGCATTATAGCGCTAAAATTAAGCAGTACAACGAAGTTATATCTTCTTTCCTCTGTGACAAGGAATGACACTTTTTGAAACCTTTATCCTCTTACTTCGCTGAAAGGATGTGGCAAACAATTATCTACAGTCAAGCTCTTCAATATCTATACTGGATTATTTTGTATTAATATTAAATATAACAGGACCGATTCTAGTTTGTCATATGCCACATTTTTTACAAACATGCGATAATACTTCAAACCTACTCGCCATGTCGATTATTACATATTGTGAGCGTATTGTGATGGTGGCGTCTGCAACGAAGATGTCTGTACTACGAAGAGATACATGGACTGCATCCCCCCTCCCTGCCATTCTCGATATCAGGCAATGAGCTGAGATCCTACCCCCTTTTCATCCCTTTATCTTGATTTCCAAGACTAGAGGCAGTAGGTTTCAAGGCTTCTGATCAGACAAAAAGCATAATGAAGTAACGCCAAGGTAAGGGGTCTATAGATTATTCATTAATGAGTTTCTAATAATTTTATAATTTATATGTTATGATATTACTTTGAAAATGAGGCCACAACAACAGGTTCATCTACTTCTGTATATATAACCCCAAATCTCATTACGAAAACGTGATATCAAGAGAACAAAAGAAGTTAAAAAGCAAGACGAAGTAAGACATTGTCAAAAAAAATAGGTTTTAGCAATAACATTTTTCAAGTAGAAAAACCAAGAAATAACCACATTACACCGATATTATAAACAAATCTAGAAATATAGAAAATTAAAAAATGTGTGTTGGGGTAAGAAACCTCAACTCTATACCCCCACCCACCCTCTCGCCCGCTATGTGGCCGACAAACTGCAGCCTTTGACTGCCGACATCAAGTCAGCTGTCAAGAATTCGGCCCACCTTATTGACATTCGTAAGGAGCATCGTGTAAATGACTCGGACATCCTAGTCAGCTTCGATGTCACGTCTTTGTTCACAATGGTTTCGGTGGACGAGACGGCCACTGCCATTCGAAGTAAACTCTGCTCCCGTGGGCTCACTCCGGAATGAGCCGACTTAGCTGAGTTCTGTCTCACGTCCACTTTCTTCCAGTACCGTGAGCAACTATATGGTCAAGTTGAAGGAGCGGCCATGGGTTCCCCCCTCTCTCCGGTTGTGGCTAACCTTTTCATGGAGGCCTTCCAAACGGAAGCCTGGAGAAATGCCCTCTAAAACCAACTGTATGGCTCCGGTCGTGGACGATACACTAGTAGTGTGGTCCCTGGACCCCATACCTTAGCTGACTTCCTCCAGCACCTTAATAACACCCCCCCCCCAATATTAAGTTCAGCGATGGAGGTGGAAAATGAGAGTAAATTGCCTTTCCTCGAGGTGCTGGTGAGTCGGAAAGCGAACGGCCAGACTAGGACACAGTGTTTACCGGAAACCCACCTACACAAACCGTATCTCACACGCCGGTCATCATCCAGCACGCCGGCGGGGGGGGGGGGGCTTTGAAAACTCTGGCCATCAGAGCAACTAGAGTGTGTGATAAAGAATCGCTGGGCTCTGAAATGGAGCTCCTAAAGATCACATTTCGAGCCAACGGATACAGCGCTAACGCTGCCAACCAAGCGGTACGGCAGGCAACGACCTCATCAAACATTGCTGATATCACCACACCTATAGACGACACTAACCATAATTAAAAGCCACGCTTAAGATTGGCAAGCTTCTGAGCCGCTACAAAGCCCTGGAAAAACTCAGGCAAAAGCTTGTACGCGTGAAAGATCGCGTCCCTCCCCTTATGTCATCGGGGGTATACGAGATCCCATGCAGCTGCGGCCATAGTTACATTGGCGAGACGGGACGTACCGTAGAGGAACGCCTCCGGGAACATATTCGTAATTATAAATACAATACGAATAAATCGGCCGTAGCCCTGCACGCGTGGCAAACTGGCCACGCTATTTTATTTGATGACACACGCCTCTTAGCCAGAGAAGACCGCTGGGGCACGAGGAGGGTAAAAGAGGCGGTGGAAATCATCAAACACACCTATAACTTGAATGCTAACCAAGGCATGCGTCTACACGATGCCTGGAAACACCTATTTTACCAGCACGTCCGATCTCGACCGGACGCGGTCCTAGCTGTTCCGCAACGTCCGATTACGGACGGAGCGCCTCTTCTCACCGTGCGGGGAGCCCGCCCCTGATTGGCCGGTGCACTCTCTGCGCATTGGCCGACCACCCGGCCAACCGGCACTCCGGTAGGGGAGAAACGAAGCCCCATTTAAACTCATGCGCAGCACATCTTCGCGCATTACGCCCTGAGGAAGTTCGCACCTTCGGCACACGGACATGCAAGTAAATACTGACTCGGCGGAAGCCTACGCTCTCACTAGACCCCAACTCAGTAGCCAAAGGGTTATCTATGTTCACGATTCATAAAAGTTTCACAGCAATTGCACTGGAATAAAAACAAAGTTGAAACACAGATAAAGAATTCCATTTCTTGTCATGTCTTCTAAAATTCAAAAAGTTTTCGATTGTTTCTTCACTTTAAACTTTCCCTATTTATTGATGATTTCTGATACATTTTAAATACATGAATTCTCTGCCAAGGTAACCACTACTACATATTCAACAACTTTAGACCAAACCTGTGCAGTACATTCTGAGATGATAATCCAAACTGTCAAGTGCCAGAATCTTACTACATTAATATGTAACTGTAAAAAACATCAAATACGAAGGAAATGTAGGTCAATGAGGAAATATTCCCAATAGCAATAATATTATTGAAATAGAGTTATCTATTGAATTTACTCTTCTTAGATATATAACTGAACACTGTGATGTACTGAACGCCTTTGTTTCACATTTCTATTTTCAATGAGGTGTGTCATTTTAAACCAACAGTCTTTTCGCCTTTCCGCCTAAAGATCTAGATATAGAACAAGACTTCAATCGGAATACTAGTTAAGGAAATACGCGTAAAACAAGGTTGTGCCCGAATTCAGATATATGGTGAAAAATTTTGCAAAAAATTAATTACGTCGCTTCTCTCTAAAATCACGAATGTGAGTACAGCTCACGACGAGAAATTCAATAAAGAAAACCAGACTTCAATCCGAATAATGGTTTAGGAAATAACGTAAATCAAAGATGTGTCCGAATTCAGAAATTTGGTGACAAAAATTGGGAAAAATTTAATTTTGTCGCTTTTCTCTGAAATAAAGTATGTGAGTACAGTTCTGAACGAGAAATTCCATGGAGCAAACCAGACTTCAATCCGCATAATAGTTTCGGAAATACACGTAAATCAAAGTTTTGCCTAATTTCAGAAATTTGGTGAAAAAATTAGCAAAAAATTATTATTATTATTATTATTATTATTATTATTATTATTATTATTATTATTATTATTATTATTCAATTTGCTCAAAGGAGGTACTTTAGTTCCATTTTGAAAATACCAAGGAGACGCAAGATGAGATTGAAGAGATTTAAAAAAATAATTAAATCTAAAAACATTGTTTTCGAAATTGAAAAATACCAAAAGAAGTGACAAAAATATATAAAATAATGAAGATAGAACGTCGGAAACCCTTCTGTAACGTAATGTTGTCAGTTATCCCCATATAGCAATGGGTATCATGTTAAAAGACTGCAGGTTGTCGTTGTACGCTGTCTTCTCCTAGCAATGGGATATTACAATAGAAGGGCTTTAATAAATAAAAAGAATGCTTCGCGAGTACATGGAGACAAATTCAAAAAATTCTCACATCCATAGGAATGTTTGTTTACGCGAATGTACGCTTGCTATGCTAAGAACATATGCAATAATAAATTAAAGAATTTGTAGTAAATTGTTAACTGTCAGCAACAGTCGTATTTTTATTTATTTTGTTGTTGAGAAAGTTCATTATTTCTCAAATATAAAGCGATTGACAGAAAGTGATGGTCTGACGAATGAAATGTCACACTTGTTAGCAACAAAAGGAATATGGGGAAAAAATTAAAAGGAAAAGGCTAAACATGGTGATATCTTTAGATCCACTGTCTTGGAACCCTACAACTATGTGAGAGCCCAACAAGGGCCATTTGAGAGCAATTTAAAGAAACACTCACCATCATGGAGACCCCGGCGCATACCATCACTCCTGATCGCAATCCATCCGAGAGGTTTTGCGTGAGGGCTGAACCAACCAATGCTGTATCTGCAGCCAGTCGCGTTGCAAGTTCTCCTGTGCGTGCTCGGGCTTCGAAGAAACCCACTTCTTGTCTGAGAAGGGCCGCATAAGTACTTGCTCGAAGTGTTCTAGTGATGCGCTGACCTGCATTCAAATTCAAATAATTTTATATTTGTTTCATTAAGAAATGTTTTTGTTACACACATAATTCCAAATGCAGTTTATTTATTTTTCAGGTGGCCAAGTAGAAAACATATGACAAAGGGAACATCCAACACATCATTACATGGCCAGTAAAAATAATAGTGGTCATTACCACTTTCAAGAGAAAAGTTGAGGAAACAACTTTTAAATGTATAAAATAAAACAAACAGTTCCTCTACAAATTTCAGACATTCATATTTATTTATACATATACATCATGTAATTACATTTTTTTACATTGTAGTTCACATAACATTTCAGCTACAACTTATAGCCATCTTCAGACAGCTGGTTTAAAAAAGTTGCACAATTTTTTTTGAAATGGATTATAATGTATCGTGAATGTAGATATGTGTTATAAATATATTTAATAAAATACAGTGTAATTAACTATGTCTTCTTTGTAATTAAGTATTATTATTATTATTGTTATTATAATTGTTATCATTATTGTTATTATAATTGTTATCATTATTATTATTATAATTGTTATCATTATTATTATTATTGTTATTATTATTATTGTTATTATTATTATTATTATTATTATTATTATTATTATTATTATTATTATTATTATTATTATGTGCAGGGCAGTGACGTGAAACTGAGAGAAACGAGTAAGAAAGACATTACAGCTCACTGTATCACAGTGCGGTGAAGTGAAGTGTGATGAAGTGGCGTTCTATGAAAGATTGTACGGTGAAATGTTCATGTGATTTTGTAAATTTTGTGGATTTTGTATAGTTGTTAAGTATCTGTAATGTTAAGTTAGTGTATTCTGCCACCAAGTTCTCACACTTAATTGCAGAATTATTAATAAATCTAATCTTATCTAATGCAGTTATAAACTATTACAGTTGTATCACTCGTTATTACATTTTTGTATTTAAGTTGATAGAAGCTTACCTTTTTTAAAAAATTGAGTTGGAATGCATTTATAACTATTGTTAACTATTTATGTTATTAACAATTTTATACAAAACATATTAACACTGTGAGCATATGTAATTCTGCTGTTCTTTTCAGTTAACTGTCTATTTTAAAAAAACTGGAGACAGTTACGAAGTTTCCTATTATTTTATTCCAAAACCATGGAAACATTTTTTTTCTTATTAGTAAGTGGATTTTATAAAAAAAACAGGCGTATATTTTGGTGCTGGGAAAAATTGAGTCAACTCTGACAGAAATCAACTTAAAATATATACAGTATAACAGTAAAAAATACAGTTTGTGATGAAACTGTATTTTTTGTACTTATTGCTAAATCAAATTTAGGTCTGTACGCACCACTGAGACATTTGTTTGTTACTGCAAATATGTGTCATTTTGAGGTGCATATTTGTCACTCGCCCAATTTATAAAAGGAGCTATAGGTTTAAATTTACGATAGTATAGATAATTATAGGTACTTTTGAGTTTATATGTTGATACATCCATCGTGATTAATTAAGATTGTATTTCTTTTTAATATTTAAACATTACTTGATTAATTTATAAGTGTACATTTTCGTAATTTGTCATTCATGCATTGGGTTTCACTTCTGAAAATATTTATTACTTACTTTTACATATTATTTTTGTGGTACCTGTAGTCAAAACTGATATAACAACATTGGTTTGTATGGCTTAGTAGTTATAAGAGCTAATATGTAAAGTCTCTGGCAAATCCCAAATTCTTGCCTGCACAGACAAGCCGTTTATTATGATATTGCTTATGACAACGCACTGTTTGAACAATGTCTTTTGCTTCAATTGATCAAGAAACTATATTAGGTATAATAACCAATCATCAATACATACACATACATCACTCTTTCACTTCCTGTACACACTTATCCCTAATTATTTTCTGTACAAAGAATATGAGTGGCTACTGCTTGCAAAGAAGAGGTGCCACCTACCCAAAAAGTGCTGCTAAACCCTGAGAAAAGGAAAGGTGTCATTCCAAACTAGTGTGACTGATGAAGAATCTGCAGCTGCTGAATGGTGAGAATCATGAACAAAAAGAGTTTATTAACTAATCGAAGCTCTTGGTACAGTTACAACAATGCAAAACTTTTCACTAGTCAATGGTCAGTACAATACTGACAATGTCCAAGTGGCACTGAGGAATGAACATAACACATGTATGCAAATATCAAATGCAGAAAACAGACCAATATGACAGATACCTTAAAATAACTACAAATCATATAATTTATGTAAGTACTGTAACGATTTTAAATTCAATAAGTATTTCAAATGTATTTTGCATCAAGAACACATGTATATGCATGACGTACTTGGGATGAGAACACAAGTTGGCAATGGTTTCAATAGCATGGAGAGAAAAAGAAACCAAATCAACAACCAGACAAGTTGTCCTAAAATGCAGATAAACAGATGTTCTAAAATGCAGACAAGAAGTAGACATTCTGAAATACAAATGGGAAATGGACGTACTGAAATAGAATTAATTACAAATGTGAATAGTTATAAATGGAGTTGTCAGAGTAATATGAAGTAATTTGATATTGACTGCACATTTAATTGAAGACAATATTAAGGAAAAGTGTATGGACTGAAATATTTAAGAAAGTTGAAGGTGAAGTCTACTGAAAGTTAAAAGTAAAAAAAACTTTTTGTTTTTTTAAATATAAAAAAAGGAAATATAAACTTAGGTATATTCTGAAATTTGGTTTTAATTAGTCAAGTGTATTATATTCTTTTAGTTGCAAATTAGGTTAGGTAAAGATTCTTACTTTTTTCCCCCTAAGAAGAGAAAGCTATGTAATGCTGCGAGAAAAAGTGGCACATTTTCGACAGAAAAACTCTTCTCACAGGGCCCTCATAATGAAATATAGATTAATCCAGTTGCTAAATTTAGAAGAAAAAAAAACTCCAACACATGGTGTAGCTAGAACTCATTTGTTATGGGTCTTTGATACCCAAAAATCGATTGATGGCAAAACGTCTGTGAACAACGGTAGCGCCTAAACTGTCCAACAGATTTTCTCCAAAATTGATATTCCCCAATTGATCTGGCTGATGTTGAGGCCCTTTGATTTTGAAACCGGTATTTTAATTTTGGGGAGTATTTTACATGGAGCCCCCGGGACATTTTCAAAATTTTAAAGAAAATGGCTCCAACAATTTTAATTACTTTGTTATTAGATAGTGTGAAAGATTTTTAAAAGAATGGTGTTTGTTTGTTAAAAACCCTGATTTTTCCAAAGTAGCAAAAGTCTGAAATTCTTTTGGCGTCTTCCTAAAATGAAAAATAAATAAATAAATAAATATATATATATATATATATATATATATATATATATATTATATATATATCATATATATATATATATATATATATATATAAAATTTTAGATTTTGAAATAAGGTCATGTACAATTTTTTCGAAAATGAGTCTTAAAAAAATGTGATGACCGAGATGCACTAATTCGGAGAAAAATTGCTATACAAATCATATTATGAAAGCATTACTAAGGGCAAGAAAGGATGTGCTGTTTAAGCACTACTAGTTTATTGTTATTATTATTACAAATAACTGTTTTGTTGTTGCTTTTTTTAATTTTCAAATTGGAAGCATTTGAATTTAATAGTTCAAAGTTGCCATATTCAAAGTGTATGCCATATGTATGCCAAGTGTATGCCTCCGAAGGAGGGCGTACAAAGGATTTTTCGCCCTTAAAAATCCACGGCTTCGATCGGGTTTGAACCTACGAACTTGAGAATAACAGTCCGATACGCTAACCGTTACACCATCACCGCCACATAGTACTGTATGTACAATGTAGAGAAATTGTTTACCACTTGATGGGTTTCTGGTCATAATTTTTCTTATTTTCTAACATCTTTTTATAGTCATTGTAATTGATCATTTATAAGAATGATCAATTATAATGACCAACATAACGTCCCTTCAAGGCCATTAAAACCAGTTTTCGCTCTGTATACATTTTCAAGTGATAGACAATTTTTTTTCTCTATTATTACATGATATCTTTCTTGTAAGGCGTGCCAACTTTATTAATTTCTTGTTTGTAATTGTAATACTAAGTAAAATCTGTAATTGGGCATTTTTCCTCTAAAAACAAAATAGTATAAATATAAAATAACATCAATCTCTCATACCAGCCATATTAATGAGGTACACACGGCCACCATTGCAGATTGCTCCCACCAAAAACACTCCCGCCATCAAAATACACATCTGATGCAACCGCTGTTTTGCTTCTGTATGCTCATTTCCGGGTGCATAAATTATATCGATGAGCCGTCCAACACAAAATGGCACAGCCATAGTCACTGCACTGGACACAACAAGAAATCCCAAAGCACCTGTGGAAAAAAAAACACATAAACAAACCTATAAGCCCAGAGGAAACATAAATTTCCCATTACAGTTAAAAATAAAAATTTAGAAAAACATAGTGTAATTGTGGGATTACATTATATAACAAATAGTTTTTAATTATTCCTTCTATATTTTGGGCTTTTCTAAAATATCAGTGCTGATTCAGAAAGATAGTTTAAAAATAATTTGTTGAATACATCTGATGTACTTGATACAATGACCATGGATCCTAGCAGTGCATTCATTAGTACTTGTAGTAGTTTGTTTGTTTTCTCTGGGGAAATAACTCTCAAAGCACTCGCACATTTATTATCCAAAAAAGAATATTGCGAACAATGACCAGCATTCATAAACTGGAGTCTTGCAAACCCTTATTTAATAAACTAAGGATTCTTCCTAAACCATGCATGTACATATTTGAAATAGTGGTCTTCAAAAATAAAATTCTCATGGAAAACAAAGACACTTTTACTTTAAATTGTGATGTACACAATTACAACACCCGTCAAAAGGATAACCTACACGTTCCCCACTCTGAAACTACACTTTATCAAAAAAGTACCCTAATAGAGGGCATTATACTTTACAACTAACTAGGCAATGATATCAAAGACATAAACACAATTCATACATTTAAAAATTGAAAGCTTTCCTGCTTAACAATGTGTTCTACAGTGTAAAGGAATTTTCAAACTACATTTCCCTCAAAAAATATAAATAAATAAGAATTTCTTATCCCATTAGACTTTCTGTTTCGTGTAAACTGTTTCAAGCTGAAGAAAAGAAAAAATAACTGCATATCGCATTCTGTGAAACAGAAGGAGAATAGAAGAAATAAACTGGTCAAAACTTGCCTCCTCACCATTTCCCAAGTTATAAAATATAGAAGGCACTACTATTATTAAATTTGATGTAGTTGCAAACATAATTGATATGAATTATTAATGTTAATTATTTATTATTATTATATATTATTATTATTATTATTATATTATTATTCTTTTTATTATTATTATTATTATTATTATTATTATTATTAAGTAGTAGCATTAAAATAACATATGAAATGTTATTATTAGCAGATAATATTATCTACTGTATAATATCTTAATCTAACTGTAACAGTATTGTATTTCTAGGTCAATGACCCATCTTGATCAGGCTTTTTGTTCAGTTTCACTGGTCCTTTGAGAAAATGCTGAGATGGCCCCTTGTTTGCTCCTGAACAGTAATGTAACTTCGCTCTCTCCACCCAAGGCATCATATTGACTCGTCATACACGATTGTAATTGTATATGTGACTCAATAATATAATAATATAATAATAATAATAATAATAATAATTATTATTATTATTATTTATTATTATTATTATTACTATTAAGAGCATGCTTATTAACACATTTAGTCAATATTCCACACAGTATTTTTTATATTAGTTTATGTTATTCGAGCAAATATTTTGGAATAGTTTATTCTTAATGCAAATTAATGCTGAAATTTTCAGAAATGTTTTAATAAATTGTTTTTGCTATTCAGATTATTCAAACATATTAAAGTCAATTTTTTTTATATTACATAAAATTTTCATAATGAATAAAAAATTGCCAGTTAGTTTGAATAAAAGTAATTTTAAAATGTTTAAGCCATTCTTTCACTTATTAGCATTGTTAATCATGCAAATAGATAATTGCACGTTCAATGAATATTGTAAAATATCTCAACAATTTTTCCTTGAATTATAAGTTTCATAACCTATGCCAGGAAAGGACATTAATAAGTAAGGAGGTGAAATTTTCCTATGATAAGAGCTTCACATAGCATTGCATCTTACATAATGCATTTGCTACCAAGTAAGTGGCTTACTGCCATCTAACTTGTGATCTGTTAAGACACCATACTGGGACAACAGGCAAAAACATGTTTGTTTTTGGAATTGCATGCAAATCTTTCATTTCTTATTTCGGTGTGATATTTTATCTCATGTAAGGTGACAACACACCTCCCCGAGTCACACCTCCCAGCAAACGAGAAAAACAGTAAGATAAGGAAGATCATGTAAGTCAACACTTAACACCTGACACAACTACATAAATATAAACCCACGTGAACCAACTTTCCATACAAAAGCAGATTATACAAGAAAAGTTATCAAGTATATTTTTAAAATAATAGAAAACAATTTAAAAAACAGTCATGTTTAAAAAAAAAATTAAGTTAGCTCCTTTTTGAGCACCTCAGAAAATACTGGAAAGATCAATTAAAGCAACAAAAGCAGAGTAGATCAACTGACTTAAATCATGTACAAGATGAAGGTTTTTCTTCAATAAAAGTTTTAATAAAGATAAAGTTTAACCAATTCGTTTTAATTTTACCATTAACATCTTACCTACAAGAGTCCATTTCTCTGGCTTAGCTAAGTGCAGCAGTCTTTGTAGTTCAGACTTTTTTAAAGTAACAGCTTTTGAGCTATTTGGCTTCCCACTTTTAATGCCAAATCTTCTGCACCAACTTATAAGACTGATTCTTGGTTTAGATGAGGAGATCATAGAGTTTATATGTTTAGAATGAAGAGATAATGTAGTATGTTTCCTAAAGTTCTGGATGTACCGAGGTTGAAATCGAATGTAATTACCGTAGAGGCAACATTGCCCTAACACACGGGTGCTTACAAGAGATACTTGTAAAATCATTGTGGCATTAATATTCACGGATGTGTCATGTCACGAGGTTATGGTAATCTTTTAGGATAAGGGACCGTACAACATGCTTACTGAGCGGGATTCATTATCGAAAGATGAGGTTGTCTTTCCTGATCATATCTTTTTTTACTTCAAATATTCTTCATCCTAACGATCACGTCCATTTCGGCAGAAATTACATCAAACACAAAAAGCAAACGTACATTGTATTACAATAAAATATCGAACATTAATATATTCAACTATACATACAAGCAAACATACTATCAATGAAATGTCATTAAGAACAACTAATAAAATCACGATGAAACAACATAACCTAAACATGCAACGTAAACACCATCCATGATGAATCGCGTTTCTCTTTTTGCAAGTTGGGTTGCAACTTCTGTCATTTGCCGCTAGGGTGGTGGTCGTGGTCCTCAACCTTCATCGTGCATAGATAACGGCGGGAGCTTTGAGATGGTGCAATATATTGACATACGGATTTTCTGTATGTTGAGAATATTCATCACTCATTACTGAGCTTCGTTTATTGCACTAGATTTATAATGAAATTGATATTATGGTAATTATTTATAAGAGTAGAAAAATGATGGGAGGAACTGTATAGAAAACATTAATCTTTTGCTTTTATGAAAAGAATTCACATTCTTCTGGGCAATTATTTTTAAAATTGTGCGAGAATATTTATAACTCCATAGAAAATATTCCCTTTCAAGAATTTTTAAAAGATTTGCTTATCATTGCACTGCAGATTAAGTGCTTTATACATGAACATATAAAGAACAGATACTAGACCTTCTCCCTTCTTTTTCAGACATTTGCAGAACCATGTCACCCCCTCAAGGTTGGTTGTCTTTATTTGTTTGTTGTTTTAAATTAATTTTAATATTTAATTATTTGTTTTGGTGGATTTATTATTATCATATGTTTATCTATTTGTTAATAATAATTAGTAGTTATCAAAGAATTTTGCAAACTTCATATTTTTTGTCATTTTGTGCATTTTATTTTGTTTTGTTTTTCAACACATTTAAATTATATAATTAACATGTTTTTTTAAGATACTGATAGGTAATTTTTAATTTAAGAAATGTGATTCGGTTCTATAAACGATTTAACGGTATAAACAATTTATTTGATGTATTTATTAATTGAATTACAGAAATATTTTCCAATCTTGAGAGACCAAAAATAATTCAAATGAAAGATAATTCTAAAAAATTAAGATAAAACAACAAAGTAATATTTTAAAAATTAAAAATCAGGATTTTGTGAATATTTTTCCTAATAGTTTATGATTATTTCCGTGACTCTCAAATATTTCCAAATCAATGAAAGAAAACTTATATAGCTGTGCTCAATAAGAATTTTAATGTTACAAATGTATTATGATTTCCTTAGGAAAAAAAATGAGAATTACAAATTGTAGTGTACACAGTGATCACTTGTGTTTCTAATATCAACTGGCAACTTGTTATATACATTAATTATTTTAATTAAGTATTTGGTTGTAAGTGTCAATATAATGAATATATTATACTAATGCTTGTGGAAATAGATTATAAAGTTTAAAGAAATAATGCAGATGACTTTTTTGTTGAGATAATAAGACTCAATGCATTTTAAAATACAGATGATAATTTTTAAATGAATTTTGAATTTTATTTACACTAATTAATTTCCAAATATTTGATCAAAGCCATATATTATTAAAACATTTTTAAGGATTTATTATTGATTTTTATAGAATTATAATGTATTCCAACCAACTTAAACTGACATTAACTCATTTTTAAAAGATGAACATTTTAACAAACAAAACATAGCCTAACTGTGGAGTGTTGTAGATTTAGATTAGGCACTATTATATTCTCTTTTTAAAAATTAGTTTATAAAGACTGTTTACTTTGATTGAAATAAATCATAATTTTATTTAATCTCAAATATTTTTTATTCACTTTCACTAGGATTCTTTTCAACAGAGTTCACATGAAAGTAGGAACTGAATTTATATTCCCTAATAAAACATTAAATTCAACTGCATTTATGCACTAAAACTTGCACTAAAATATGCTACATCAAATATATAAACTTTCAGAGGGAAAGTCCCTTTCTGTTTTGCATCTCACATCATTCATATTTGTGCGAGAACTCCCATAATGACAATTTGGGTTAGAAGCAATGCAAGACACCTGAAGGCTTAATGAGCATTACCTACTTTAAAAATTGACTTGACTCCACGTATTACTCAAAACAATCATAATTTCTTACATTAATATCTTCGTAATTCAGTTAAAGAATATCAACATTAGCAATAATGAACGTCAAAAATAGAAATACCTATTACAAATAAAATGTTGGAAAAAAATAAATAGGTATACGCAAAGATGAACCTCTTCAATGAAAATATGCTGAATAATTCATAATTTGCAGAGATAAAATGCCTATTAAGAAGACAGACAAATCATTAATTACATACTCCACAAAATCATATCCATATGATTAACTGTTGAATGTTTATACATATCTCGTGAGTATACCTTCTGACAGAAAGAGAAAGTGTGCATTTGCATTGACATCCTGTTCCAACACATAACTGGCTTTCATTATGAAGGAACATTGTTTTCTATATTTTCATTCTTGAGATAATAACAATGAAGAGTAGAGGGGCCTAGCAGTTGACATGCTCAGATTCACTAATTAATTAATCAATCACTAACGGGACAAATGACCTTAGTAGTTGATGTGCGTGAAATCACTAATCAATCAATCGGGATAAGTGGCCCAACTGGCCCCCTTCTGAGTGCACTGGTAATTTGTTTATGTTGCAGATCAGAAAACTCTGTTCACTCCTGGACCAACATGCACCAGCATGACAGTGAAGCGAGCTATGTTGCGAGATGTGTTTCCTCGAACTGACGAGTTCACACTGATCACCCAAGACATTATGCGACGTCTTCTAGATGTGGCAGGTTGGGACTATGTTTGACACTTCTTTTTAAGATAATCTTATATATACTTTTCTAACTATAAATATACTAGTGGCCTGTAGCAGTAGCAAAAATGCTGCTGACCAAGAGCTCACACAATGGTTTTCCAAAATGTAACTTGTACGCTGCTCAAGAACAGAAAATAAAATACTCACATTTGACAATGCAACAAATTAAATGTTTTGACAAAAGAGTTCAAGAATACTGCAGTAACATACTTAAGTATATTATAAGAATGTCTTCGATGTTGATGTTGATTTATAAAACCATCAATGTATTTAACATAAATTAATCAAAGCTGATGATTTTAACATCCATGTTTTGTGCTTGATGTTTCTTCATGGTCAATGTTATATATTTGAATAAAAATGTTCCATAATAAGAAGGTCAGTTTCAGATGTCAATAAATTCAGCTTTCTTTCAGACCGATGTGACTAAATATGATAAACAGTTAGGATTGATTTTGTCAAAAAAGGAAGTCTATTATTTTTGTATTATCGAAACAAACAATAATGTTTTTTTTAATGGATCAGATGAACTTTTGACTATTGCATCAGAGAACTGTCAATTATAAATTAATGAACTAACTTAAGTAGAATTTTTTTGTTCAATTTTCAGTCGAAGTAAAAACTGTTTCATTGTAAATTGATTTTTCCCAAGTTTCTGAGTATTTAAAAAAAAACTATAAAAACCTCTTTACAGGAGATTCTTTTCAATATTTATGTACATTGGAAATTAGTAATATTGATTACAGTGACTTTGAAGCCCTCTGGAAAATAACTTAGTGTAGATCATGTTGTTAATTGTTACAAATGATTAATATAAACATTTATTTTGAAAATTACAGGCCAAGTACTAAGGAAAAGTTTTCAGTACAATCTCTTTCATAATAATTTGAATCCTCTCTAATTCTTAATGCAAATCACATTTTTTAATTTTCTGAGGATGTAGGAGGTGGCATTTTGATGGATTAAATTGTTAAGGGAGAAAGAAGACAATTCTGCAAATATAGCGAACACTCTTTTCCTTTGTCAAGCAATTTCTCCTTAAAATTTATAAAAAATTAAAAACCAAATTATTATTTTGTGTTAACTTAAATTACATTTTCTTTCTTTTATAAAATACTGTTTTAATACAAAAAACGTTTTGTGCAAGAGAGTGCAATTTAATGGTGTTCTCTGCCCATGAAATAGTTAAGAATCTGCCACCAAACATCAAATTATTTTGATGTAAGAGAAACACAAATATATTTTTTTGGCTGAGTCACCTTAAAATTTTAATTTTTGCTATTTTAAAATGTAAACTTGTGAGCTAATAACTTAGTGTTTTTTGTTGTCTTTAGTTGAGAAAAAATGATAGGATTTAAGAGAAATATTAACATGCAGGTATCAATATAATGATTTGTTCTGCTTTATTTGAAATACATTTGCAGCTCTCTTAAAAGGTCATAAGTCAGCCACACCAACTTACAGAGTATTTACTTTTCCAGGAGCCAATCCTAAGGAATGGAACACCATCCTTCTGCAAGGAACTGGAACATATGGCCTTGAAGCGGTTATTCATACAACGTCCCCCAAAACCAAAGATGCCAGGGTGAGTTTGCCATCTCTCTCTACATATTATTTCTCTAAAGATGTCTTTTCAAAGGCAGTGTTTCATGTCAGTTGTAAGATGACTGTGTTGTTAACAATGTGTAACTTGTCAGTTAACACTGTCGTTCAATAATTGGCAAGAAGCACTGCCTCTGAATGGGGTTGTAAACTGTTCTTATTCTGTATAAACTGTCACATATCTTCACCATTCTTGTATCTGACAAACACTTAAGTGGTCAAAGACAAACCTCAAAAAAATTGAAAAATAATTTAAGGAAAAAATAATTTATTTGAGAATTAAGTTGTGTGTATTTAGCAATATTTTACATTAATTTTCTGTAAGATAGTACTAAAATATTTTGTTTTTGAAATGAGGCAAGGCCTTCTATATTTTGAACATTTTCTGTACCTGTGAACCCATTCTGTGATCACAGATGGTCACGTCCTTTTTGGAAGAACTAGCTCAACATTCATTATATTGCCCCAAATGCAAACTGGTCTCTACATCAACATTTTCTAAAGTAAGATTACATGTGTCTTTGAGCAGGCCTGGCAGTAAGAGAACAAGGGAGTTTCCATGAAGCTATTACTTCTGGTGGCAATGTCAAATTGTGATAAGCATAAACATTTTACATAAGGTTAAGAAAGGTTCTCATAAAAGTTCTAAACAATGAAACAATAACTGCCTTCCTAAACAAAGATAAATGTTAAAAAATATTCTGGAGTCTGTTGTTGATTCCCTCTCATTAGAATGCAACTGTTAATAAAAGTACCTATGTTCGAGAATTGTACAAATGAGCATTTGTGGGAAACACCATGACACAGAGTGTGACAAATTCATTATAGTTTGAGAGTCGTTTTGAGCTATTTTGGGCACCTTCCCTTCTTAGCATGAGGGATTGGAAACACGCAAAATCTGTAAATTAATGTAAAATTAAGTTGACTACATTTTTGATATGTGCAATTTAATCTTGAGGATTTAAGTCCTTATGTTTTGTTAAATGTTTATTAGCAATATAGACTATTGGTATATTGATTGGCTGCTTGATTTTTCAATAAATTCAGACTGCCCACATTTCTGTGGTGGAAGTTACGATGATGATGATGATGATGATGATTATGATGATGATGATGATAATGATCATGAATATTATCTTTGCATGCACCACTGGAGTATTCTAAACACTTTTTGATCAGGACTTCAGATTAGGTTTCCAAAACTCAAAGGTTTCTATGTAGTATCTTAGATTTTGAGAGTATATGCTTCCGTGTCTGGAGTCACTCACTACACAGCTGTCTGGGAGCTGCTGCATCCTCAGCACTGGTGCCAACTGTTCGGCTGCCATGAGGAAGGTTGCAGAATGGCAGCCAAAATGTTGGCATCTATGCCTAGGATGCCTATGTCTCCTGGACAGCCAAGTAGTTACAATCTTAGATTTTTTCCACCATAGTCACCCATAAGTTGTATCTTTGAATCATTTCTTGCAGTTTTTATAGAGTTAGTTGAAAGTTATCTGTTTTTAAACAGAAAGTGTGTGGATGTAGGAGCCCCCAAAAATGTTAATTAATTGTTAGGAGACAAAATAAGAACTTATCTCTGCATTTGTTCTTTGGAACGCTAGGAAACTAAATGAAAAATACCAATGAAAATGAAATAGAGTGGGAGTGGGGGTGTCGAGAGAGAAGCAGTTTACAATTACTTTCCTCAGTCATACATTCATTGTACCAGACACTACACTTGACTACACTTGATCTTAACCATTTACATATATTTTTAATATTTGCTACTGAATTGTAAGTTCTTAATTATCCAAAATAGTTTCTCTCCTTTGATTTTTAAAAAATTCAATATTATTTGAAAAGGCAAAGGCAATGCTTTTTTGTTGTTTTTTTCTGACATAAAATGGTTGATATTAAGAATTTTCAGTGTAGAGTAAATAAAATATTATTTGTTAGCAAAAACAAGAACTTTTGTTAAACAAGTATTTTCTATTATATCACAGTAAATATTGTGTTGAAAAGTAAAAAGCGCATCATTTGTATTTTATCGATAAATTTTTTTTTTGTTTGTTTGTGAAAGAAGACACAGTAAGAGACTTACAGAAATGTAATTTTCAAATATTATTTCTTTTAATACATTGCATCAGTGAACAATGTACAATGATTTATTATTTTTGTACAATATTATTCATAACATTGTTAATTGCAACAAAATCATATCTTAAATATTTTATATCATCCCTCAAAACACAACATGTAATAATCTCTTTTTCAAAACACATTCTTCAGAGTGAACTATGCTTCCAACAATATTTTTAATCGAATCTTTACATTTGCTAAAATCCTTTGTCACAACGTACATTTTTTCAATCTTGACTTAAAAATGCTCTGTTTAAACATTCTTGATACCAAATAATCATTTTTAAACACACTTATTCTTTATATGACTATAATTTCATTTAAAATTTTTGTAATTTTGATATTTTGTGCTTATATATTCTTGTCATTACGTTTGTATTTTTTTTTTTTTTGCTAAAGGGTTCATTCTGGTTATTGAAGTAAATAAAATAAAACACATTGAGTGTCATGAGACCACTAAAAAATCTGTCTGTGTAAAAATTCTGTTTCATGACGATGATTCACTAGTGACAACAGCTCCTATTCTCTTTGGGTGAAACATAAAACAAAGTATCTATAACATGAACTGCAGGTTTCTGAACCTTTGCCTGAAATTGTTATCAGTGTACTTCAAATAACTTATTTGTTCATAGAATAGTGTGCCACAGTTTGGCCCCTGGATGAAACCAACATGCCTCTTGTGGGTGGCACTCAATGTGTTAATCTAAAAGAATTTTCATATTATTCATAGAATTTTTATTCTCATAACTCCTATTAGCTTTTATGTAGCCACAGTTAACAATTATTTTCCAGATGTGCAGCTTTATAATAAATTCTCTTGAGCCAGAAATTGTGTTCATTTTTTTTTCAGGTACTTATTCTCATGAACGGGTTCTACGCCAATCGACTGGTAGATATATGTAAAATCGCTGGGATCGCGCATGATGTGCTCAACTTTGGTGAGGCAAAGCCTTATGACCTTACAAAGGTTAGACTTCATATTTTTTTTATTTTATTAATTCTATCAGTTGATATTCATTTTGTCATATAAAATTCAGATTGAAAATTATACAGTAAACGATCCACAATTCATTGAGAGGAAAAGCATTATTTTTATTTCTCAAACACTACAAATCTCATTAATGTTATTTTTCAGTTTTTAATTGTGAAAAGTAAATCAAAGTCTACTATAACTGTTTTAATTCTCTTTCAAACAATGTTTGGCTAGAAAATGTTTTAAATGATATTAAATGTCAACAGACCAAAATTTAGATAATAATAATAATGTTCGCTAGGTAGAGTTTAATTGATGCACACTAGAAAAGAAATCTGAAGCACAAAGTGTGTTTAGTAATCAAGAAAACTACATCAACTTTTTCACATCTTCTTTTTCTGTAAATGTTCACGAAATACTTTCTTGCTTCTTATCAGTTAAATCTTTGCTCATCATTCTACTAATTGGGATCAAATTTATTCAACACTATTGCTACATTATTTATCATAAAAGATACAATTTAATAAATTTATGACTTCATTCACTAAATATTCCTCTGAAATGAAAATTCAAAACAGTATTAGGTACATAATACTCAGTTAATTAAAATAATTATAGATGTTGTCATTGCCAACAATAGTATTTAATATAAGAGCATCTTTCGATGGCTTAGCCATCATCATCAGTTGTCTGCTGGATGGAAGCCACAAAACGACTTGACTAATTATTTTATGAAAAATGCCAACGATAACGCACCACAACACCTATACTCAGTTAATTCTTGTTCAGCTTTTATTTGAGATCATCATGATAATATGTCTTAGCCCAGAGAGAAACAATGAGATAAAAATATTTTGACATAAAATCGTGGGAGAATTATTTCTTCAAGAAATTTTCATACCCCAAAACATCGCTTTTATTAATAGGTGAATGATGCAACTAATAGCAAACGTTGATATAGTCCCTTATTTCGCATCCACGCATTATAAATGTTGCATCATTAAGCATGTGCTTGCCTGATTTCCTTTCAGTAGTAGTGACAGGGCTTTGAGTTGCGTTTTTGATAGAAGTACAAAAAAATACGATCTGTAAATCATTTACTAATGCATAAAAGGGTTTCAAATAATTGGGGGTTTATATTCAAAAGAAAGATATGATTTTGAAGATTTGTTAAATAACTATCATGCATTGAAAGAAATGAAATTTTTTATAAATATTGTCCACAGTTGTGGCAGTTGAATTAAACCCATTTAAACAAACTGTGTTAATTTTGAATATTAATATTCAAAAAGAAGCGTGAAGATGATAATGTTTGAAAGTTGTTGAAACGTTGTGTTTGTGTGAAGAATTTAATTAAATGATAATGTGAACATTTCATTGTGTTTTGTATAAAGCGAACTGAATAAAGAAGTCAATATGAGTTATTTAAAGTTTTCATATTTTTGTAACCATTTGTTGGTACTTTTATTCATCATTCAATTTGTAAATTATTATCATAATCATTCAAATAGTAAAAGGGAGGGGTAAGAATTCTGTAGCTCAACAAAATATGCACAGATTATATTTCTACTATATATATTAAATACAATTTTTGATGCAAAATAAATCAAATTTGTGTATCCAAAGACATTTTTCACGTTGCCTTTATTAATACCTGAATTAGGCAATTAATAACTGATTCTGTTCTTGTAGATAGAGAAGTACCTCAGCGACCACAAATACACTCTAGTGGTGGGGGTGCACTGTGAGACCAGCAATGGCATTCTGAACCCTTTGGAAGCGGTGGCTGAGCTGGTGCGTTCCAGGCAGCCGTCTGCTGCTGTGTTGGTTGATGCTATGAGTAGCTTCTCTGCCATTCCGCTTTCCTTTGACAAAATCGACTTCCTTGTGGCTACTCCGAATAAAGTTGTGCAAGGTGTCCCTGGCTTCGCCTTCATTCTAGCGCGGTCCAAGCGGCTACAGGAGTACAAAGGTACACATAGCTATAGGACAATTATCACAGCTTTTTTAATCTCGCAATGGTCTTTGTGTAATGTCAAGGGTTTGGTGGGCTGGCCTAATGAGAAGGGGTTATCCACTACATTGCTCCAGTGCCCTGGAACCTGAAAGGAGCCCATGAAGCTTAAGGTGATCAACAAAACCCAACGTGCCTGCAATTTGTGTTATAAACTGAAGACAAATTTAATTAATAAATTTGACAAACATGACCGGACCACTGAAGCCCCACTGAGATAATAGAAAAGTCATCATCTTGGGGAACAAAACACAAAATGTTTTTAAAAATATAGTAAAACAATTTGTTTTATTGCTTGCTAGTTTCAAATGTTTTGTTTTGTTTTTTGGAATAGTGTAGTGCATGTAAGTGTAAGTATGTGTAAGTAAGGGGTAGTATAGGATATGACGTGGGAAGGAAGCATTGCGTTAAGTGCATGGCCATTCTCCTGCAATGGCTGAATTTAACCTAGCTATGTAGTGAGTGTTGAAAATCCTTCCATTGTTGAAAGAAGAATCCAAGGAGTTGCTGGTCAGAGGCACTGCAGTGACATCAGTTGATGCTCTGAGCCACAGGCCAGCAATTGATACTCTAAGCTGGTTGGTGTGGCGAGCACTGTGCTTCATGTACATATTTGCCCGTCAGACAATTTCCTCTTAATAAAGTCAGATTATACTGGTACTCTTTTGGAAAGGAGGCTCCGAAGACTGAAGAGCTGCCCTGAACAGTACACAACTGGGGGAAAAATTCCAATTGTTGCCGTGGTTTGAAACAGGAACCCTCAGGATAATGAGCAAATGCACACCCCACAACCCATGAGACGTTATTTCTTGCACTGATATATTATATTTGTTCTTTAGGGAATGCACGTACTCTGTGTCTGGACTTGGTGAAACAGAACGAGGATTTGCAAGCATATGGCCAATTTCGATTCACCCCACCTTCACATGTTCTACAAGCAGCTCAACAGGTTTCCTATCCGTTTTTGTACCGTACTTCTTCATATCATTTCAATAATTTATTGTTAACATGTTATTTTAACAATGTAAATGTTTTTTATGACCAGTTATTTATATAATTAACATACTTTATCGGAAACAATTATTTAAACATAACAATTAAAATCTTACAATGTCTTTAAAACTAAGAATTGTAGTTTAAACCAGTTTTTATAAACAAAGAAAAAAATACTCTGATATTCCTAATTATAAATTAAACTAAAAAAACCTGTCTAGCTACTTTTATCACTACATAATATTCATTAACCAGTCTTCATTGTATTTGCCACCTTCACATCTAACAATGTCAACTTTGATCTAATCCAGATTTAATAAAAATGTCCAATTCAATGTTCGGCCAAACTTATATCCCTTACTATCAGATGAATTATCTTATTTACTTATTAACCTAACTTATTTATTTCACTTATTAACCTAAAGTCATTTGATGTGTTTCCTAAAATTAATTTTTGTGCCCATTTACCAGGCTCTCAAAGAGTATGAGGCAGAAGGGGGCCCCAGCATACGTTGCAAACGCTATCAGAGCAATGCAACTACTCTCTGGGCTGGTGCACGCCGCCTTGGTTTGAAGACACTACTACCTCAAGAGCAACTCAGTCCAATTGTAACATCCTACTTATATCCTAAGCATGCCAAGTTTCAATTGGAGGAGTTTTGTCGTAGACTTGAAGTCAAGGGTAAGTACTTCCTATACCTTTTCTGAATAGTGGCACATCTGTTGGATTAATTTCTAATTGAATGAAAAATTTCCTACAATTTTTTCTTCTTCTGTTGATGTTTATTTATTTTTGGCAGAAACAGAATAAATCTGACATTTAGAGGTGATACTACATTTAACTACTAGGTTTAACTACTACATTTAGCTACCAGAAACTAGATGAAATTCCATATCATTGATCAATAAATCCAGGGAAACTGGACAAAACCTATTTTGTATAATTTCACAGAATTTTCTATAATTTCACAGAAGAATAAAAAACAAGACAAGTTTGTTTAAAGTAGCACAGAAAATTGTCAAGATAAGTTATCATATTTAATAACATTTTTCACAGTAATAATAAAATTTATTATATTTGTTATTCTTAGCATGTAGTTTCTATTGACACAAAACAGTTTTATTATAAAATATTGAGATTGCATTTTTAAAGACTGTCATTTCTTCATGTTCTTTAAATTAATGGCTAAATTATTGTGAAAATTTGTATGTGGATTTTTATTTAATATTTATCCTTGTATTAAGCAGATGATACCGGATGACACATCATCTCTCTGTGGTATGAATGACAACAAATAATTGGGTGAAATTTGCATCAGTATGATACTGTAATTATTGGAAAGGAAGCCAGAATGGCAGAGAAACATGAAAGAAAATTTATTCACTTTTTTATCATACAACTTATTGAGGAGTAAACTAGGTTAAATCCTAAAACTCCAGACCCTAGTTATTACATTTCAAATAATATAGAGTATCGATGTAATTGTTGTTGTTGTTTTTTTTTTTTTTTTCAGGTTTCATTCTTTTCCCTGGAAAACTTACAAATGTTGACAGCTTTCGAATTGGATGTTTGGGAGATGTACATCCCACAGATGTGGAGAAATTGCTTAAGGCCATGGAAGAAGTATTAAAAGATATGGGAGTACCCATCCCAGTTCCATAAATTGCAAAAGGGGACCCTCCCCATGACAATGTCAATTATGAGTCAACAATTAAGGATCGAATAATTATGAGTATGATATATAGGGACCAGATTTATATGCACTAATGATCTGTTACATATACATGCATCTATGCAGTGTAAATTTCAAAAATATGCACTAAAATATGTCCGATAAAAAATAAATCTTCATTGCATGAAAAAAGAAATCGTTTTCTTTTTCCCATCCAATTTTGCTAATGTTTTTGAGGGAAACCCACATTGTAATGTGTTGAATTAGAAATCAAACAAGTCAAAAACAGACGTTAATTGGTGAAACCAACTTTCCAAGATGGACTCAGCAGTATGCATTACTCAAAACGAATGTGACTTCCAAGTGAAAAATCTTGCTCAATTCAGGCACAGAATATTGACATCCACTGTAACAAAACCTCAATAATTCAAATTCACTTTACAAAATTGGGAATTAAATTGAGAAATTAAAAGAAATAGAAATAAGTATGTGTAATGTTAAAGGTTTTCAATAAAAGGAGAACATGCAGAAGAATGAGCAATTTGCAGAAATATGATGCTTATAAAAAAAACAGGTGAATTAACCATTATAACCATCATAACACAATGATTTAATGATTAGAAATTTGATGTTTCATACATAAATCAAGTGTGCATACTTTCTAATTGCATGAAAAAAAAATTGTATTTTCATTGAAATCTGGTTCACAATCATCATCTTTCCCATTTTCAAAAGTTGTTTTAATACCCACACATTGCTTCTGGCTAGCAGTTACTGATAAATTTTACTGTGAGTACAGTTGAATTTTACTGATAAATATTTACATCATAGCTCCAAGTGCGCACACACTCCCAACTAAAAGATGTGCAAGGAGACACAAGAATTTATAATTATGTACTTAATACATTACTTATGTTTTTCAATGGTTTCAATGTAATATATTAGATAAATATTTCACAAGTTCTACTTATATTTTTGATAATTTTTCTAATTACATTCATTTCAGCAAGCCATTAAAATTGTGTAGAAAACAGTTCAGCATGGCCAGCTGTCTCAGTCTAATATCTCTGAAACATAATAAACTGAATCTGTGAGTGATTAATAATTGATATTCTCTTGTTGGTGCTGCATAATGTGTTGTATTTGTCAGCATTCTATGTTATACATGTTATATATTGAAAAGATGTGTCTATCTGTAAGAGTATAATCATATAGTCTACTACACACTCTAAATAAAAAAAATGTTGATGCATTGAAAAGTTTGTATTTGAATACCTACCCTTATAGTGAATTGTCTTTTTGATTTTTCACCACCATTGTACAAATGAAAAGCTGAGAAAACTTCCCATTCTACAAATGAGTTGGTCATCATAGTAGGTTTAAGGAAGTGATACTAACTCCAGTCTCTTTTCTTTCCCTAGAACTATTTTGGAAGAAATTTTACAATTTCACGATGTCTTATTGATCACCAATTTTGTGTGCTCAACCTGTGTAGGCTACTTCATTGAGAACAGCATGTTTCTGATTTTTTCTAAGAATAATTTATTCTGGTTTTATACTGTTCTTCGAGCATGTGGGAGGGATTCCAGATTCTCACTTATGTGTGGGGGAAAAATGGATTATAATTATAGATAATACCTTCATAGATAATACCTGAACAAATGTTCTGTGTATTGTGGTATTACTGTTCAAATATATAATGTGTCGATACATTCAAATAACATTTGTTATGTTTTGAACATTATTTTCAGAGATCTGAGAAGGTATTATGTGTATATTTACATCTCCTGAGATTTTTAATTATGTTCGCCTGAACCCTTGCGGGGTCTCTTCGAACTGGAAACTTCTGGCGGGTTGTTCTTTTGGGCTTTTGTCTTCTCTACCCCGTACACGGACGGGGATCAGGAGTCTGTGTTGTTGGTAGGTTATTATTTTTTAATTTTCCCCCTTTCTACATACTAGACTATAAGAAGCTCCCGGAAACGCGTTTAGTTTTTACTTTCTCCACGAGAATGCACTAGAAACCCCAACCGTAATGGCGAATAGAGGCGGGATTTTTAAATTAACGCTCCAACATTGCCATTATCTATTTTACAATATATTTCTCAATTCTACGAAACAAATTGTTTCTCTTTTTCTACGACAAGTAATTTTATATACTTATCAATATTAAAATTCGACGAGAGCTGGTCAAGGCAACATTTAGGTAGAAAGAGGACATTCAACTCGTATTGAAATTCCAGCAAAGGTTCTGCCGCCTCGCCGCTTAGAATGCGTACAAACCAGATTTCGCCGATTGGTGCTGTCGATCTCGAAGGTTATGTCAATGCTCTAGATGTTTCGAAACCCGCCACCGCATTCGTGGTGAAGACCGCCTTATCACTGTACCCTTGACCTGGGTAACCGGGTCGCCGCGATGGATAAGAACAAGTGAAAGAGGGAAATAGTGTAGTTTCATGAGTGAGAGATGAGCAGAATCATGGATTCCTCTCCAGAAGGTCAGATACTGTTAATAATACTTTTTGAGAAGATTTCTTGTTAGAATATAATTACTGTACGAATGCTGTGGTCGTGTGCAATTGATTTATTCACTGTACTAGTCCTCAATATATTTCGTAATTATAACGTAACATATTGCAGATACGAAGAAATTATTTTGCTTTTATCGCAACGATTTTTTGATTAAAACATTAAATCGCATTCAAAAGCTATTTTTGAACAGATACAAAATGTAATTACTATTGGAATGTTGCGATAAAATGCATCCGATTTGTGCATTGTACTGACTATCAATGTTTTTTATCTAATGAAAACGTAACATATTAAAAATGAACAATTTATATTGTTTCAATCACTATGATTTTTTTATGAAAATATTGAATTTCATTCAACTGCTGTTTTCCTGGAGATAAATACTAACGTAAATGTGAGTCCTATGTGATAGTTTTTCTTAATTCATCGAAATAAAACAAAATTGTTCTTGGAATATTCAATTATGAGCGAGATAACATACAAATCCTTTGAGTTTAAAATGTATAAATGTTTCATGGTTCATTTGGCAATTAAAATTTGTCATGTTGAAGTTAAGCCGATAACATCCAATATGTTAATTTTACAAAATGCAATCGAACTAGGGTGTAATATACTTACACATAATACACTATTATTATTATTATTATTATTATTATTATTATTATTATTATTATTATTATAAACTGACTGTCATATTCTCAACCAAGAAAGGTTTTTATTTTCACATTAACTTCAGTGCAAAACTGAATTTGTTCTGATCATTTTAGTAGTTTAGTAATAACAAAGTAGTCTAAGGGGTAAGGTGCAATTTATTGGCAAGAAAAGATGACATTTTTCCATTTTTGTAGATTCTTGAGCTCATGAAAACGTGTTCAGATTAAATTCTCCCATATGCTTCAATTAAGTAAGGAAAAGTCGTCTTGAGATTGCAAGATATTATTTTTAATACAGAGTTTCCCAACGGGGTCGGTGTAGACCTTTGGGGATCGATGCAATTTTGAAGGAGGCAATGATGATTAAGGAATCGATTCAGTGTCAATAACCGAATAAAAACTGGCGCCTGATCAGGATAATCAAGATCCTATTGATTATCAAAAAATATTAATGAACTTAATTAACTTTCTTCAAATAGACATCAACAAAACGTATGATAATAAATTAAAAGTTGGCTCTTATTTTGTATCTGTCTTTCATAATTAGGGATTCGGATATTTAGGAAATTCAAGAAATTATAACTCTGCTTTTATAACGATACTCTATCACAAAATAAAATACTATCCGCATTACCCACAGGAGAACTGTAACAGTCGGTTCTTAAAAAAAACACTAAACATTTAGTAACCATTTCATTTCAACAAAGATTAGCAACTTTGCTTCGCAAAAGCGAAAGCGTCTTCGGTTATTGAGAAGTCGAGGTACGTGAATATTGATGAACGAAGTTGTTATATTTAAGGCTTTTACATGCCATCCCTTGTGATTATGGATGCTGTATTATATAGAGAACACTTCACGGGGGCGATGAAGCGAACGATTCGTTTAAAAGGGGTCGGTGAAAGAAAAAAGTTGGGAATCCCTGCTTTAATACGACGAAATAAATTGAGAATGTCCGGAGGAAAAAACATCCGATTGAGCGCGGCATATCAGCCCGATAAACAATTTAACCTAATGGGGAACAGTTGTCATGGCAATAACGACGAAAATGACAATAATAAGGATCACATCAAATGTGTCCCTCTCTGATTACATTTTTAAGTGAATAATAAAAGCTTCCAAAGATTTAGCTGCCCTTTAGTAGTTGATATGAATTTATTCTTTCTAACTGAAAGTACTTGATAACGATATTTGTGACTTGAAATGCCACAACTTGAACGAGTTTGTTTGCGGAGAGTTCATGAAACTGACACATGCAATGCGTATGTGACAGGTCGCGTCTCGCTTATCTCCTGAGCATTACGTCAATGCCAGAGACCTACAAACATTGCACGAGACAGTCGAAAGCAAGTGTTCTATATCTGAGGCATGTAAAACAACTCGAAATTCTCAAATAATGCTAATTGTCTGCATTGAGTACTTCGATTTAAATATATTATTATTATTATTATTATTATTATTATTATTATTATTATTATTATTATTATTATTATGCTATAAAATATCAATTTTCGTAGATTTTTTAGCGAATAATGTTTTACTTGTATTACTAGCGTACGTTCAAAAGGTTTGGTGAAAATGACTTCCGGGGGTACATGCTTTTCGATAAACCTACTTCATATTTAAAAAAAATGAGTTAATATGTCTTTTACTGTCACTTTGCCGCTACCTTTGACTTGTAGAACCAAAAACTGATTTTGATCTTTTTAAACTTTTGACTGGAAAATAATATTAATAGATTTGTGTAACTTGATTATTCTTTAAACTGTTCCGAGAGTCTCTATGATTTTTTTCAGAACGTTTACAAACATCCTTAGTCCCGACCACTCCAAAAGAGGAAAAACCCGTTGAGAATGCAAAAAGTAGGTAAAATATGAAATTTAACAAGGTTAGATCACATAAAAATTTCGTCTGAATATAAAACGAAACCCTCGGATTGCAAATCGATTCCTGTCATTCCTGTCAAAACGGGCAATTTTTGTATAGTTCTGTTCACTTGAAAGGTGCAAATAACATGATATTTTTTCTTCGCTACTTTCTTACATTTTGAGAAAGTTAAAATTGTATTATAAATTGGAAATACTGAATGGAGTATTTACTCGAACTATTATGGAAAATGTTTCAAGTAGATTTAAAAATCTAATCTGTTTCATAAAGAGAAGGGCCCGATATAAAGCAAACAGTTAAGAAAAGCAAAGAAAAATACTAACAATGTTACATACAGTGTAATATAATACAAATATAAATAAAATAATTTATGAATGTAAGCATGAAATTATAAAACAGAATAATTATTTATGATACGAGTGATAAAAGCGAAATGCTATTTTGCCGGTAGGTGCGATACATGGCCAATCTTACGAGCAAAATAAAATCACTACCACGTATATCATGCACTGCCTTTAGACAGACGTACTGACTTGCCTTTTATTTTAATTCAATTACACAAATCACATAATTGGGTACCAAGTTATATCAAGATCTGAAATTGCGATTAGTATTACACATTCTATTAAATAGTTCAACATTTGAGAACTAAAATTTGAGAACAAAAGTGTAAAGGTACCACTTGTCTATTCAATGAGAAAACATTGTTTAATTGAGTATTTTTAAGGAATATTGCAGAAGAAGCAATTTATGTCCTTCCTACTTTTAACATCTTCAGTTTAGCCCCCATAAATATTTTTGAAATAGTATTTTTCAATTGTTAGCATAAAATAAAAAGTGTACAAGTATAACCATAAGGGAATCCTGATTTGAATATGTTGAGATGAGATGGGAATTATTTTGAATAAATTGAGGAAAATTACAAAAAAGCGTTGAATTGGATGGGGGAGGTGAATCACCAATCGTAATCAAACCACCCTGGATATGCCCCTCTTTTCAAACTGGAATACGAGAGCATGACAAAAACTGTTACTTAATCAAGCATGCTTACTTTCCGGGTAAATTGATTCAAATCCAGCCAAAAACTTGGTTTTTAACACTTTAATTCCGATTTTCAACATAAAAAATTATATCTCCGGGGGTAGTTTTGCCTATCTTAATCTGCATTCCCCTGTTTGACATTGTTTTATTCAAGACTAGGTCCCAGACATAAACTGAACACGTACGCTTTCTGCCAATCTGATGCGCCTAGCAACCCCTGTGTGGTCACTGCAGATGTTGCCAGACGTACCAGGATCCTGCTATTTTACCAAGATACAGTATTTTAATAAAGATACCATGTACCTGAGTGAAGACATCCTTGTACGTTTAAACACCATGATATTAGATGTACGGTAATTATGGTGAACGATTTAAGATTCGCATCAAATGTTTTTATTTAATAATTTAAAACTATCACCAATATTACAAATAACTACGACACTGGTGAATACATTGCCGTAGAACCATTAAAGATGACACGTTAGCCTTTTCTAGTACGTGCTGTAGTAGAAAATGAAAGGATCATTCCACATAGAACCACCTTCCACTCCACGTCCATCGATAGAAAATTAATTTCAGTAATGTTTAACGAACTTCCTTTGCGCGTTTGAAACATAATAAGAGTTAGAATATGAACAATTTCAGAATTTAAATAAATTGTCATAAGTAGCAGGAATTTTAGTGAAAGAACTAGACTTCTTGAAGGTCGTTACTGGCATATACGTTTGATCGCGTGACAACACTGTTGATCAGGCGGTTCAAGTCGACAGAGAGCCATCCGGATGAATCTAGCCGGCGCCGGTGGCGAAGTAGCAACAATGACCGGATGTCTCTTGCCCAAACAAAACACGGAGTTTTTATTTGTTTATTTTCCTTTTTCCCCCTTTTTTACTATATTCCGGCACTATAAAAATAAAAGAACTTTTTACTCTCTCGCCCTTCCGAAGGTACTTGCGAGTTGGAGATAGGCGATTTTAGCAAATGCTAAAAATTCGAAATAGATAAGATACATTAATTTAAACTGCAATTGGGTATAACCAACACCACCTATGTGGTACCTAACCCGGTGGCAGCTAATTGCGTAAATAAGGAAGTATAACTAACATACAAATTACGTAATAGTAATGGTACAATAAAATAACGGTATAATAATAATAATAATAATAATAATAATAATAATAATAATAATAATAATAATAATAATTATAAAAACTGACTGATTTATAAATCATTAAGTTACGTACATTAAGAAAATGAAACTTCTATAATCGAATTTGAAATACTAAATGTTTGTATAATTAATACTGCACTGACACTGCTGTAAAGCTAAACTTTATAAACTAGTTGCATAAACTACTATTAAAACGTTTTTGAATTTACATAATGC